TCGAGTACCAATTTCGAAAAGTCGCTACCGCACATTTGATAGATTGTTAGACGATCTGAATGAGAATATTCACATGCCGTTTGGTGTACGACGACTTACCACACCGATGGGACGCACCTCTATTCACGATATCGCCGAACTTAAACATCTCGGCAAGTGAGTCATTCGACGAAAATCCAGTTCAATACGCTGATCTATTTCATTTCATAGTGGAGATAAAGCCGAACGGTCGGTAAAATAACGTTATAGCGTCTTGTTGAAACGATCTATAACAAAGTTACAGCTTTTTTTTGCCAATCTGCGTGGGTTAATAACAGCTAGCCCTCATATCAAATTTCTACACAGTCACAAAGAGCATGTGTGGCGCAGTGGTCAGAGGCGCCCCGCAACACAGGTGGAATCAATCCTAACGCCCATGGCCCACCAAGCCCTCCCTCCATTCCTTCGGGATCAGCAGATTGGTACCACACTTGTCTGGGAGGATAGCAGCACTGGTTCGTTATATCAGTAGGCCAGCGCGAGCCATTTTAAAGGCTGCTAGATATGCAAGCAATCACCTCCAAACGATACTTAATGAAATCGAGTGCGTGGCGCACCCCTCAGGGATTGATCAGTGCCCAAAGGTTTATCCTTTATTTTTTTTAACCGTGTAAAACAGAGGGAATCACACTATTAGTCCATTCATAATGAGCATCAGGGTATTAACACTAGTGCTTAATGTTTAGAAAACCTATGCTTAAATGCTTTGTCCACGACGAGTCAAACTTCATCGCAATATATTCATTTAAATGTCACCGTGAGATGACACCTCTTTAATTCTTCATAACAATGATTTCATCTCATCAAAAATCTTAGCCTAATCCAGATTAACATTCTGATCAACGGTCTCCAATACTTCAGCCATTAGCTTCCATACTTTTTGCTATAATGTCCGGCTTCCACATAACACATTGCGTACTCTTAAATCTTCCACATTTTAAGTCACTAGCCATCATATTTGCTGTTACAGCTGTCATCTATTATAAAACAACTCCGTTGTCTCACTTCAAACAAGTTTCATATGCAAGTTGTTTTCAAGAAACGACGAAATTCGACGCAACCGTCAACTAACTTTTCCATAACCGTAATGATGCTGAGATATTTCCAAAACTCCGGATCGCAGGTGTCCGCGGGTGTGAATGAACGCGAATTGCTCTTTCGGGGGCTAATGCGTTCACCACCACATCATGCGAGTCCTTCGCGTCGCCTCTCTCTCTCAGCTAGTTTTTTATGAATCAGTGCGATCAGCAATCACCAGTCAACAGGTAATAAATACGAACTTAACATTGTGATTTCAACTAGAGCCTCAGTTTAACTGGGTTCAAAGCCGTTGTGGGTTCCCCAGATCAATCTCGTAGACGAGTGATTGCTGATTGCACTTATAGGTCAATAACGCGGCTGAAAAATAGACAAAACAAATAAGCCGCATGGTGTGGTGAAGAACGCGTTAAGTCCCGGAAAGTGAAATGGAGCGTTCGTTCCCCACCGCAGACAACTGTAGGCCTGAGTTTTCGAAATATCTCAGCATCACTACGGTTGTACTTCACATAGTATCCCGCCGTGAAAAATTGTAACAGGCAGCAGATAAGAACTTAACATTTTAACGTTGCCATAATTGGCAACTATCTCTTTGCCGTGATCGTCTAAAACCTTTGACAAGATTCGGTTTCCTTCAGATTGGTTGCCTTTTGATGCAACCTCATCGATTAGCTTCCAATAAAAGTAATGAAGCCACTTCGATGTTTTTATACAGCAAACGTTTGCTTTCATACAAAAAACACATTCAAAACCACAGCGGCTGACGTTTCCGCAGTAGCGCCTTCCTTAGAGCCTTCAAGGGTATATTGGTATGAAATTTACTACGCCAAACACTTCAACAACACATACAGAAAGATGAAAATCTACATGTTAATCACACGACCAACAGGTTCTCGAAAAAACGGCTGCTTTTTACCTGCCTTCCTCTGGGGAAGAACAGCTGATTAGCGTCGCATATGGTTGATGAGTGGACCACCTCACAACAGAAAACAATTTTAATATACGTGTCAACTCTCACAATCATCAACCACTATAAGTGTAGTTTTTCCTCTGTGCAAAGCACATAAAAACTGAGTTTTATCCAGAAGCTGTTGAACGTGTGACTACCGTTCAGATTTATTTGTATTAATGAAGCGTTTGGCGTAGTAAATTGCATACTAACCTGGCCTTCGAGGCACTGAAGAACGCAATACTGCCTAAACGACAGCTACAGTTGTGTTGTGTTTTTTGTACGAAACTAAATATGTGTTCTAAAACAACCTTGCGATTTCTGAGAAAGAAAACGATGTTTTTATGACCTAATGCCGTGGCTAATAAAAAGTCGTTCCTGGGAACTACAATGAAGCCAATTAGAACATATTCTTAGCTACAGCTAGTATGAATCACATAAGGAAAAACATCCTCTATTGGTTTGTGGGTCCATCACTAACTTAGGGCTAGCTCCTCCAAATCAAAATATAATACTGTTTCTCGACGATTCAGCTTTACATGTCCGGTATCAGTTGTGAGTCTGTTAGTCGGCGTCAAAATGTACTGTAACAAGGCTTGTATAATTCAGCTATAGAGCCTGAAAAACGTCTTCAATTTTCTGAGCCTATCGAACTGTTGCCGTTTAATCGTTGCTTGCTCTATCTAGGTCACCATTTTGATGACGATGATGACTACATAAATGTACACGATGAAATCAAACGAATTCACGACGCCTCATTTTGTTGTCACTCGTTCCTTTGCTTTCATTTCCTCATAACCTAGACCTGTCGCATCTACTCAACCGAAACGTATCCTAAATTACTTACAAACTTAATTCCTAGTGCAATAATAAACTGCTGGTGACAATTTTCGAGCTACAGTGACGGCCATCCATGAGCACTTTACCCCATGTGGACACCTCTGGCTTTCGAACTGCGATGCGAAATGTGGGGGTTCGCGGTTCATGTAGGAGCACCCAGACTCAGAAGCACAGGAGCTCGACACTTTCATCTGGAAGCACCATGAAGTAAACCCAAAAGATAGAACAGCCCAGCGAACTACTCGTGGCTAGCCTCAAGCCATATATAGTAAAAGTGAAAACCCTCGTATCAAAAATGTGATACTCTTGCTTTGAGGGCACCCTTCGAGCGAGCAGAGCTTACTTGGCGATGATTCTTGGCACTCGTTTACTCTTACCCCAAGTTTTCAGATGAAAACTATTTAAACTTGGATGACTCTAACGCATGTAGATCTCATATTGCGTATCACCTTGTGAGACACGGGAACCCCATGTCGCTGCAGCGAACTGGTGCAAACTACTAAGTATACGATAGTAAACGATAAAAAAAATATAACGTCTGGCTTTGTTCTATCCCAGACGGGTGTGCATGTCTCTCCCATCATTCATTCGATTCCACAAGCCATACAGAGAAAATCGAGTGTATATCTCCTCTAGGTAGTGACCTGCGCTTGCTTATCGATGTAGCAATTTAACGCTGTTACCCTCGCAGAGGATACTGGTACAAACTCGGCTACACAAGAAGGCAAGAAAGCTTGGTTAGCTGAGCGCCAAGTCGAAACAAGAGCCATTTGTGTTCACCACTGGAGCCTTTGCTTTGCCTTTTTCTCCACCAGTTTTCTACCTAATGGTGTCACCAGCAATCGCCCGTCAACGGGAATGAGCTAGGGAGCACTAATCGGCAGTGAACCCAATTAAGCTGAGGCTGTAGTCGAAACCAAAATGTTTAATTTTCATTTACTTCCTATAACTATTTTTCACTTAGTTTCCATTTATTGGCTATCATTTTTTTCCACCTAATTTTTATTTATTGTTTATAATTTTATCCTAGTTTTGCCTACAAAAATATCCCAAATGAATAGCGTAGCAATTCGCAGGGAGTACAATTTTATTTTTATGAACCTTCGTTTATTTACATTCTTTTATTTTTGGACTTTCACCATTTGCTCCGTGGAATTTGAAAGCATAAAAAACAGCTGGAAAGAGTCGTTATGAATTTCCGTTCTCTCCATCCACGGTACCTATTTCTAATGATTATTTCGCTTCGTTACATATTTCTAAACCACTTTTATGAGGAGCCGCTTCCTAAGATTGTCATTACCTTAGCGCCACATGTGGCCTTCATAGCTACGTCAGCATTTGGAGAATAGAAATTCAAAGAAATAGTCACCAATCAAGTTACTCAAGCACTCACTAGCTCTTATGAATGAAAAGGTTTGCCATCTTACCACTAGGTCGCTACCAAGACGACAGCTACAGAGACTGGGTTTACTCTTGGCTAGCCTTTAGGTTTAAGGAGTCTTTAAAACTTTCAAAAACTCATGTTTTATTAGCGAATGGAATTTCAGATACGTTGCGACATCGTCCAAATACAGTCGTGGTATCAACCTATCGGCATTAGAGCGTCTAAAAAAGGCACGTGAACAAACTCATAAGAGTCTTCGTCGAGAAAACGACCATGGCCAATCCTTTTGGGTACGTCTCAGAGCGCAGTGATGAAAATGTCGAGCTTTTCTTTTAAAAAAAAATTTTGCTCCTTAAGTTCAGATCTGACACTTTGAGCAAAGTGTTTTGGAATTTGAATAAACTCTGAGCTCGTTGTCTAAAGTCGACCACGTTCGGGCGGGTACTCACGGGTGGGGGTGATCAATCATAATCCCTAAGACAGCTAGCCTTGCTTTCAGTAATGCACATGTCAACACCGCATGCCTCTTGGCTAGTTAACCTATACTGAATGAATCCTACCCTTGGGATCATGGAATTGTTCTCCTTTTCTCTGACTTCCATTCTTCTTCTTCTTTTATTTCCTCTTCTCAATATTGCCCTACTAACATGTTCTCTATTAAGGTTCCCACATCACCAACGTACAAGCAGAAAATACGAATGAGTCGATCACTAGGATTGGATGTTGCGCCTTCAAAACAGGTTTAACTAAATGTTTCCAGTTGAAAAAAGTCAAGTTTTCATATTGTTTCTGAAAGAAGAAACTGTTCTAAGGTCTTTTTCGTGCTCAATGGCAAAGGTCGATTTTATCGCACCCTTTTGCACCCATTTCGATTACCGCCCATGGAGACTCTTCTCCACGAAGTTAGTGAAGGTCTGCAGGTAGGTGTCTTTACGGATCAATAAAAACTGTAAGCAAGGATAAATAAAATACAAGTAGTGTAAAGATAAGTGTATAGTATAAAGGCTATTTTACAAAGTATAAGTTAAAATGGTAAAATCTGGGTGAACTTAATATCAACCTTATAGGTGGCGATATTCCGCCTGTATAGCATGAATGGTTCACGAATCTCGAGTGTTAACGAAATCTTGAACCTCTCACCACCGAAGGTACTCGCCTGCACGCGGATCGAACGGCCACATCTCGGCACTGTTATGCTGCCGAACATTGACACCCACCTTAGCGACACCAAAGCACCACATAAACGCGGTTAGTACACTATGAATAGAATAGGCCTTTCTCGACAAACCATTAATAAATTGTCAAGAAAAGACCAACGAGATGATCAGGTCGCTCGATAGATTGTCAGTGACTTTACAGGAATCACCGTTGTCTGATCATGCAGCAGACACACAATTTAGACTTTTATTATGGCTTAAAATTATCGAAGACTGTGACTGACTGAAGTCATTCCATTAACATGTAATCTTTCTTTGATAAGCCTACATGAGATTGGTAAACAGATTTATTTCGGCTAACGTTTCGACGTCTTCGTCTTTATCAGAGCCGATGATCCGATTCGATGGTCTACTCTTGTTCCCCGTCTCGATGTGGCAGCTTCGCCTTCGTGTCGAGTCAGGTCTTCCTCGGCGAACCATCTCCCTGAATGAGACATACTCACCCGGTGATTCCCTTCTATGCAGGATGTTGATGGTTGACAGCTGTGATAGTCCCGTGATAATAACTTGTTTTCCCGGACTATCAACCTTGCAGAAGTCGGTATCATTGTCAGCTGGCAAAGAGCAACGACAATATTTCAAAGCCGACTTTCCTTTAACCTCGGTTTTACTAATCAACATGTATTCTTAAATTAACGAGGACGATGATTGGCCGAAATTATCCCATTAAGTTGTAATTTAGCCTGAGGATTTTAAAAAAGTCAAAGATAAACGGTTAAGCTGTTGGTGTTGTCCTACCCATTCATCTACGGGGCTTGCTAACATAGCAAATGAGGATTACCTGCTTTTCCGGGAACGTGTGGTACGTATTTGTAGATCCTGAAGGGATGGTGAAGAGTTTCTTAGCCATTTTACATGGGATCTAATCAATGACTGCATATATTTCAGACAAAAGTTAGAATCATCAGTTAGAGTGACCGACCGTCATTTAACCTTGGATTTATTTATCAATATCTCCTTCGATTATTAAGCTCACCCCACGTTGATAAAGATGCTTATTCATTCGAGCGACCGTGCACCATCGGCTCTGAGGTAGACGAAGACGTTGAAATGTTAACCGAATAGACATCGGTAAAAACCAGTGGTGTAAGTAAAAGTTGTATTAAAGTTCTTAACCAAGAGCTGTAAACGTGAGCGAAAGCAATCCGCTTATCAATTGTCTCAGCTGTTCTCTCGCCTATCGTCATTTGTTTCGAGGCTCAGTGAGTTCTGCTCGTTCGAGGAACTTCTCAAAAAGTACCATATTGTATTAAAAAACCAAAAGATGAAATTGAGCAAGTATAGTTTCTTATACGATTAGAAGTTTTGGTGTTTGCTGAAAATCCGGTAGCCGTTCGTTGCCGTTTCAGCGTCATACTCTTCACACCCATCAAATTCGGCGAATCAGAACGGTATCGAAAAGAAATCACACACTTTCACTACTGCGTTAAAAAGAAACATTCGCTACACCACTGGCGTACGCAAGAAAAAGGCCATCAAACCTCCACCTGGTAAGGCTTTACACAACCATTCATGATAAAAGATAGCCATGAATTAATATTGAATATGGGATTAAGCGTTCGGTGATATCAATGTCTTGAAGATTCGTAATGCATTCGACTTCGTTAAGAGTAATGAATTGATGCATATCTGGTCTATGCAATCACTTTCGGATCCTATTGATGCAATATGTCACTGTTTTCGTCTTCTCAGACACGTCTGATATCAATTTGCCAACCCAGGTGGGATGAAGGGATTTCTTAGTCCAGGGAGTGCTACCGAACCGACGACCACACGCGCACTGCAGAGAACTTCTAGTGCTGCGCTACATGTGCCCCATGAAGTAATATTGCAACAAATTCAGCGAATTCCACAAGCGAGCGATGATAGGTGAACAAATTACTGCTAGAGTTGCGTCGTAAACGACTTATTAAAAGGTCGGTGCTGCTGATTAGAAATGATAAGTAGGGCAAGAGCTTGTAACAGCTCCAAAGATCGACTTTCTATTAACCTGGTTTATAAATGTGTTGTTTTGCTGTTTTGCACGAGATGCTGCGATTGCTGAAAAAGAAAACGACACATTTATGAGGCAAAAGCAGCGCAACATAGCTTCACCGAGACTGAGCGGCAAGCGAGCTAGCGCCGCAATAAGCGACGAAGCTGTCCCGGACTAAATTGGGGTGTGGGCGAGCGACGCGTGAGTGATCATCAAAGATTTCTGCGAAATTGGAAGCAAACATCAGCTGAGCAGAATGTTAAGGGCATTCATGAAAGTAATTACAACCAGCAACGAAAGCACTGTCATCATTTTGATAACAACATAACGCACATCAGATTGTTCTAGAAACCTCATTATTTAAGATTTACTATGCAATTTTAGTGCCGGCATTCGAAAAGATGGCCGCCAAAACAGAAGATACTGATTCAGGAATGGCGAATTCGATAAGTAGTCGCATGACGGAAACACCAAAAATTGAAGATGACCATGAGTTCGCTTTCAACGAAGAAATTGAAAGACATCTAAGAGAAGCCGAAAAACAACTGATTCCCGAAGACGACGAGAGTCCAGAGGAGATTTCTTACTCAGCAAGAAGGCCGGAGACCAATAGTAGTAGTAGTAATACAATGTCTCTAAGAAAGCATCACGACATATCGCAAAAGCAAGAAGAACGATCGTTTGAAGAGGAACTGCCGTCAACTGCGGAAACTAGTAAATCAGATGTGGGGTCGGAAGCCGAACGGAAAGCAGAGCTGATAATGGGGAAGAAAATGGAAGAAATTCGTGAAGACGAGATTCTCTCAAGAAATAGTAATAGCGATGTGGAGCGGATTTTGATATCGGACGACGACGTGGACAATGAGACTATAGTGGCCTTGGATAAAACATCCGGTTGTGAGGATGCCCGTCCAATACTGCGGAACGAATCAGACTGCGATAAGGAAGGGATTTTAGCGTCTGATGATGAAGTCGATTCGGAGAGTCCAAGGCGGAGCAATCTAACGACATCTTTTCGGAACCATGTAGACAATTTGTCATTGAATGACGAGAAAGAAACACAGGCGAGCCGAAGTAAAAATAACGAAGAGCTCAATGAGGAGATAAACCAACTAAGTGGTGCTACGAGAGCGGTAGACAGCGATCGAGAAGAGATTCTCCCATCGGATGACGAGGAATTGAACAATCGCGACAAGGCGGTGGTAACGATACAGGCAGCTTTTCGTGGCTACCAAGTGCGGAAAGAAGTAAAAAGTAAGTACTATTACAAAAATGTTCTAGTTGACCGCTCCCAAAGCACTTCGTCTTTTTGACTGAATCGATCTAATATCGATTGAAGGAAAAGAACTGCTCCGAACTAGTTAAAGTGTAGGCCTTACTTGGATACAAAAAACTGCTCACTGCATCCACTTAACAAATTAAAGGTTTGAAAAAAACTTCACTACTAGTAAAAAAGTAATTATGACTACAGTATCCGATATCTCACCAATACCGGTATAAAAAGTCTTGTATTCTCATCAAACCTGTGCTCATAAAACTGAGAATTTAGTGGTTCACTTCACTGAAGAACAGAACAATCCATCAAATGCGAACGATACGAACATTGAGGTACCGCGTCAGCAGGAAGCCACTGAGCAAGGTAGGACCCACCTTTAGTTTTCTTATAGCCACAAACACAAAAGAACTGAAAGAAAACTAAGCAAAAGTAAATAGCGAATGTTTTGGAAGAATCTCCAATGGTGTCCTAAGCACTAATAATTTCAAACCGCCCTGCTGAAAGTTCAGAAATTTAACTTAGGTGGGACATTTTTGAGCAACTAGGAGTTGAAAAAGTCCTCTAAAACTTATTAATCAATTTATTTCTATAGTCGAACATTTTCTATGAAAATAATTGACACTATGAGTATTTGAATGTCCTCATCTTCACGTCAAACCAAACAGTTTTTAGCTTGAGTCTCAAAACAGCCACGCTTAGCCGTCAGTACAACCAGATATTGACCTTTATGAATCGGATTCTGATTTACCACTTCACGATTATATGTTATCGTAGATGGTGATGTTCCCTGGCATATGTTTACTCCTAACTGCTCTTCCAGAGAGAAATGTGCTGACTACAAGGGGCCTTTTAAGCTGAGGGGACTCTACCTAGTAAACTTCTTGCCGTACGTGGCTCAAGAGCCATGAACATCCTACCCCACAGTGATCGGGCAAACCAGTGAGAGGTCCAGTACTTGCTTGAATAACGCTTTTTCTCGTGTTGTGTGGTCAGAACACATTCCTTTTCTTGCGATGTTTATTCCCAGAGGGTGGTTGGTTTCACGTGTGCTTTCGGCTGCAGTGTGAGGAAATGACTGCTTGCTAAAGATTCCAGCTGTGAACGCAGCTATTTTATTCGTATAAGGAGAAAGTTGGCCCATATTTCTAATGGTCTCACTTGAGCTCCCTGTAATTCTCCCGATATTAACACAGTGTTGTTATCGTCAAAGCGTCGCTTACCTCTCGTCAATGACTAACGTTTACTTGTTCGAATACATTCTTCTGGATCTCGAACACAGGATATTCTTCGAGGATCTGAATTACGACTACTAGTCCGTAGTTGAATAGTTCATAACCGGAGAACTCGGGCTCGCTGTTATCTTCTACAGTTTTTTGATATGGCTGAAGTATCAGACTGTCTTTCTGCGACATGGTAGAGTGCTGGAGGAGCTGTTGTCTCAAATAACTGAAAACATAGGTTGGGACCAACAAGTTAACATGCGGGCTTTTTTAGAAGCGTTGACTCGTGTACGCTGCTCGTTGTTTTCTACCAAGTCCACCTCTCCAGCCATTATCAATATACAGAAATCGTGTCAAGCATATGGGATATAATAGCTAATGACTTATTTATTTACGAAGATCTAAAGTGCGTAAACTACTACCGCTATAAGTAGAACGACTACACAATTCGCAGACTTAGCGATGTCCCGCACATATACATAGAAATCTTCGAAAACCTGGAAACTAGTCTTAAGACAAAGTGTGATTCTCACATCTTTTCTCAATGCCTATGGCATCATTCCTTCCCAATTATTATAAGAGATTCTTCCGTTAGAAAAAAAAAGTGTTCGACGACCGTAGAACAGAAGTATCTGAATCAGTTAGCTGCTTCACCTTATTAAACTGACTATTATAGAAGAAAAATAAAAACTCTTCAATTCTCTCTAAATGATTAATTTTTTAGAAGAAACAGCGTCGGCGACACAACAGAACACTCACAGGTCAAGCATAAGCGGTGCAGAGCGACCAAAAAGTGGGCTAAAAGTGAATAAACCACTTTCAGCACATTTTCCACTGTACCAATTTTTAGAGATAACGTACACGATCTCTATCACCACTGGAAATCGTTGGGGAGCCGAGACGGAAGCTAATCTCTACATTCAGATGTTCGGCGACGAACAGACGAGTCGACGATTTTACCTCAAGCAGGAAGTATGTTATTTCCGTTATTCAGCGTTCAAGGCACAAGACCGGTGCCAGCGGCTTTAACTGTAGTACCAGTAGATGAAACAAGTTTCGTTTGCAATGTTTAGAATACCCCTTACTAAATTAATTTTCAGTTAGTAAATTCCAAACTCTGAAACAAGAGTTTTGTCAAAGAAATGAATCCTTTGGTGTTTTCTGGGCAGCGCTCATTAATCTTACTGAATACGATAGGTTTTCATCGATCGACTAGGGTGAAAGAAAATAGACAAACCTACCAGCAAAATTTATTTGGAACCAGTTCTTTGAATAGTTTAGATATCTATAGGAGGAATTGTCTGACATCCTATACATTTTCTACTTCGTCGGTGCTTTCTTGTCTGAGGAAGTTTTACAACATAGTACTGAGATAACACTAGCGTATTCCTAGGTTGATAACACAGGAAATCGCCTCCTCTAGAGGATCAGAGGAAGGCTAACTGCTTTGCAATAAGGTTTTTTCCAGAACGACACCGATTTCTTCCATTGGTTCGCTGATGTCCTCGCTAAAAACCCCACTCTGTAGAATCACAAAAAAAGCTCGGATAAGAGCACATTTTAAAAAATATAGCTGATGAAGTCATAGATATCCGGCATATTAACGGACTAGTGGATCACCTGCTGTCTAGGTTGACTGGTTGCAGAGCGGTGAGACACGGTTCCGCCAACAACATATGGATCTCTTTCATATCGAGACGGAAGACCTCGGCACCATCCACAAGGTCATTATCGGTCACGAAGCAGAAGGATACGGTAAGTCACCTACTGAAATAGATCTGATTGGTATACCAATGAATGTGTGGCAAAATCACTTTGTAAGTCTTTTTTGCATCACGTTATTTTTTAAACATCGTCAAATACATTGTGGCAGAAAAGTGATATAAATTGAGAGCTAGTGACAGGTGTTTAAATAAGCATTACCATTTGTAAACTTGTAAACGAATTTGTAACCGAGTGATTAGAATGGGCACCTTCTTTCACCTTCGCATTTCTATTTGTCACTGCCGCGCTTCAAAACTAACCAACCAGCTGATTTCCTCAAAGAATACAAGGCGTGTCACAGTTTCTGTATGTAGCCCTGTATTTCTGCTTAATTGTCAGGGAATCCCAATTACTTGACTGTAAACTTTCATGTCTACAACAAGGGGTGGTGTGGCGCAGTGGTTGGAGGCGCGCTGCAACACACACGTGGAATCGATGCCAGCGCCCACGGCTCACCAAGCCATCCATCCCTCCGGGGTCGGCAAATTGGTACCCTACTTGTCTGGGAGGATAGCAGCACTGGCTCGATACATCGGCAGACCACCGCGAGTCATTGTAAAAGGCCAAATATGCATTAATTCACCTCCAACAATACTTAATGGAGTCGAATGCATTGCCCATCCCTCAGGGATTGGTCAACGCCGAGAGCTATCCTTTTTATTCTTTATGTCTACAGGCATATATATATAGCGCACGAATGCATGATATAAACCACTTCACCAACAAGAAAGATATTCTACCCATCCTCATCTCCAGCTGCTGGAAGGTGCGAAAACCTGTCTCATCCATTGCGCTAAGTAGCTTCGAGACCAATTGAGTTGAGATCGTTCACCTAAATGATCCCCATTGCTAATCTCAACAGTTTTTAATTTGTAGGCTTTGAAATAAGTTTAACTAAGATAACAGATTAAGTAGTCACTTCAGTTTCATTAAAATGTTCAATCACAAGAATTCGACAAAATTGGCACCATATAAAACTCCGGACAACCACTTACCCTCGATCAGTCGATTTAAGGTGCTGGAATCTTTATCGACTACGTACTGATCACGGAAAATCTGGTCGATGGTCGACAATTCGTTTGCTATTGTTCGAAATGGTTCGACAGTGGTCAGGTATACAACCAATTATCGATCGATATTGACATTCGTTTACTGAAAACACGTTTTAGGTCGATGGAAAGATCGAAAGAATTCTTTCTGTATCAGCATTCTACTACTTAGATAGCGCACCTGATAAAAGTGTCATATCACGTAAGTTCTTCAATCCGTTGTTCCATAACCCCGCTTCTGGTGGTTCTCGATGTCACGTTGATACGATATCAATCGACATTTTGTCGAATCCATAACGAAAGTAAGGAATCCCGGACGTTTCCAACTGTGTTGTGTCTGCAACAATGAAGCGGAAAAGCATCAATTCAGAAGGTCGATGGGAGGTCATTCTTCATAACGGGATGGAAGACGGTACTGGTGGCACGACATCTAATCTGATTATCATCGGTTACGGTACCGAAGGAAGCTCAGTGATGAATATTGGCAACGACAAAACAATGCTTGCCGTACCGGACACGACCCTGATCCAGGTGTGCAGACTAAGACAGCTTTGGATTTTTCCAAGATTGTGTAAATATGCACTTTAGATTACAGTTTGAATTTGTCCCTTGCCTATCTGCCCAAGTTTTCTCTATTCTTTTTTGTTTTTTTTTCTCAAGTTCTCTTCTTTTAGGAGGTCACAGAGTGGCCCTGTAGAGCTTCCATAATCTTGATGAGGTCTGAGATCACCCCGATTTTTGGCAAAATGAGAACAATTCATCAATGAGCTGTGCAGAGCATCCAGGAGACTCATACTTGTCATTCAGTTCCTCGCTTTAACATTTTTCATACCGTCTTCATAACAAACAACTGAAAAAACAAACGAGTGAGGTCCCGCAACGAAAGCCTGTTTTCCCAACAAAACTTTTGTTTGTTGGACAGATTGCTTTTGCGCACTCTGCTCCGTGATGGAACATCAAAAAAAGAGCACTTAAAGCTAGTTATGCCATGAAATCTTAGAAATGTCGGCATTTTAGCTCTGTAAATTGCATCCTTCACTTTGGAGGAGGAAATCAAGAAATAACTCATTGTTTAGTGATTTGTGATATTATGACCCTATAAAGGGGGCAGACGATTAATAACTGTTATCAATTCCTAAGCTGACGCGAGGTTGGTACAGATCTTCGTTGTCGTTGTCGTTGTTTTTGATGTTATTGATCGATGGCTGACGTTTCNGAAACGTCAGCCATCGATCAATAACATCAAAAACAACGACAACGACAACGAAGATCTGTACCAACCTCGCGTCAGCTTAAGAAGATCAGTTTATAAGATCTCATAAATAAATATATCAACTATTTATGCCGAGGTTCATAGAAAGTCGGTCTTTCGTGTTATCAATTCCTTTATGTTCCAAAGAAAATTGCTGTAAAGGTTACTGAATTCATGGACATTACTTTAGACTGTTTACTCTAACTAGTCTATTTATTAGAAAGCGTGAAGCGGAGTGGTTAGACATACATGGTTTCTATCGACTTTCGATTTGGGCTCTCCAGATCAATCCCGTTAATGAAAGGGACAACAGCGTTCAGAGGCAGAGGCAAAATCCTCCAATAGTAGCCGAACCAACCAGAAAATCCAAAAACCTCTGACGGAAGATGGATGCGAGTTCACGAACCGAATGAGAGAAGTGCTGGGATTCGTATAATACTTACTGACAAGTCACATTAATAAATAAACAAATTTAACTGCATTACATCGATATGATAGTGGTGTCATTTTTATTACCATGGCTGACAAAAAAAGACTAAATGTCTTACAACCCAAAGTGAGTCTTTAGATGGACTTCGGTGCCATTGGTGACCTTCTGAAGATTCGTTTCGAGATTGATGGTGTTGGCGACCAACCAGATTACTACCTTGAATGGGCTGAATTACGTGATCTTGACACGGATGAACGGATAACGGTGCGGTATGTTCTACAGTGTCATAAAAGAACTCTCACTCGACATCCACCATACACTGATGTTATTTCAGTGTTGCTAAATGGATGGACATTACTGGTATACGAACGAAACGACCGCAAGCATTCCGTGAAATCAGCATCTTTCGGTCAGGTGAACAACCGTTGCAAAGTAAGTTATCAAAAGACTTAGAACCACCTTGTTGAAGGGTCCCGATGAAGTTCCCTACAGTGAATTCAAGAACATTTGCTTATAAAGAATTAGGGTAACCAGTGAACTGCAGTTTAAGTCTGCTCTTGCTTGACCTTTCAATTAGAATTGTATGACTATAAAGTGATGATAAGAGGTTCTTCAACCACCAGGAAACATCATTTAATTTTGATGTACAGTTCAAAACTACGATGGCAAGGTGACCGCAGGTGATATGCGACTTCTGAACGATGACAGCCTGCAAGCGCAACTGATCGGGGACTATAGCGACAGCGGCATATTCCCACTGATTTACAATCGGAACAAAAAGGTAAATTACGAATTATCCACCGAGTAAAACTAGAAAATTAAAGATTAAAAAAAATAAAAAGAACCCGAAAAGAAAAGAAAAAGCTGTATTAATTAAAACGCATTCTCTTAATCCGATAAAAATTCCTGCCATAGCCGTGATTATCTACAACTGAGTAAGATAAGACCACCACTTTTAATAAGTGGTAGCAACATGTTGCAATCAGGCGAAAATATTAGAAATTGGTACAGCGTGTGTACCGCAGCGATTAGAGGCGCTCTGCAATAGAAATTGGGTCGATCACGTAAACTGGACTCACCAAACCTTCCATCCTTCCGGGCTCGGCAAATCGGTACCAGACTTGTCTGCGAGGATAGTAGCACTGGCTCGATACATCGGCAGGCAACCGCGAGTCATTATTGTAAAGACCAATATGCATTCAATCACCTCCAAACGATGCTTAATTAAGTTGAATGCATCCTCCAGAGATTGAACAATGCCAAGAGTTTTGTCCTTTATCCTTGTTAACATTGGTGAAGTAGAAAACGATACAAATTACTTGAGTTTGTCGTGTTGGAGGTGTTGATCCCTCGTTGCTTGTCATTTAGCTTTAAGGACTTCCATGTTTCCTTTCAACTTTTTTAACTCACACTAGTTGATTTTCCCATGATTCCGATCACGTGTACAAATGACCTGAACCCTAGAAAAGTATTTGAACGCATTGCGTTTCTGAGAATCTTCCAGATATCAGTGAATGTCTAGGATAAAGTGAACATCAGAATAATCCATAAACGTTGCTTCTTCTTCCGTTCCTTATTAGTTATATTTCCCTATGCAATGAATTGTTAATTCAATAATTCTTTATCAAGGAGTACTTCTTCAAAGTTGAATGTGTTCATCTTGGACGAATCAACAGCATCAAAATCATTGGTAATTTCACTGAAAAAGGTAATGGTCATATAATCCTTTCATTACAAGCTCAATGTGCTTCCCTTCTTTCTCCTTTTAGGTCAAGCAATACTGGAGGGTTTCTCGGTGTTACAAGAGATTTGGGACAAACATGTTGGAAACGTACAAACAGCTGGTGATGTGAGTTTCAACGAGCGCAATAATATTTAGAGCAATCCATTTACAAAATGTTAGCGGCACCAACATATGAAAACTCTGAGATGAAGAAAGAGAGACCACGGTGAGGCTAAGAAATACGTAAAGGTGTAGGTTCGTTTGTGAGGTGAAAACGTAGAAATCATGTGATGTTTTAGAACACAATGTCACCTAATGTTGCTGTTATCTGTCTAACCGCTTTGAATTACTGTAAATTTCAAATGGTATAGGTGACTGGACAAAATGAAAGCATTCGAGATCGCTTCCATCACTCAACAGTACATAATCTGTATCGACACACGATTAGGTTAATTTATATGAAATGCTGAGATATTTGCAAAACTCCGGACCGCAGGTGTATGCGGTAGGGAACGAACAGACGCTGTTGTCCTTACCGGGGAGCAGCGCACTTCACCACCACACCATCCGGGTCCTTCGTCTTGCCTGTCTCTCAGCTAGTTCTATCGANATCTGTATCGACACACGATTAGGTTAATTTATATGAAATGCTGAGATATTTGCAAAACTCCGGACCGCAGGTGTATGCGGTAGGGAACGAACAGACGCTGTTGTCCTTACCGGGGAGCAGCGCACTTCACCACCACACCATCCGGGTCCTTCGTCTTGCCTGTCTCTCAGCTAGTTCTATCGACGGGTGATTGCTGATGGCAAAAATATCGATAGAACTAGCTGAGAGACAGGCAAGACGAAGGACCCGGATGGTGTGGTGGTGAAGTGCGCTGCTCCCCGGTAAGGACAACAGCGTCTGTTCGTTCCCTACCGCATACACCTGCGGTCCGGAGCTTTGCAAATATCTCAGCATTTCATATGAGTTATATTTCGCAACACACCCTACCATTAAGAAGAAAAAGGCAGTAAATAAAAGGGCTAAGATTAGGATAATTTACTTAATGAAGAAAGTTGGAAGAAGTACGGAAGAAACGTACAAATTCTATTTGTCTTCAGTAGCACAGTAAGGTTACGGAGAGATCACACTAAGGTCTTCTGCGAGATCACAAGCACATTCGTCTATTGAAGTTTCCTATGGAAATAAACTACCCAATTGGAGAACAGCCACAGAGTGATGGACGAATTTCGTTCGAAAACTACATCAAGTGAACCATTTATTTGTAAATTTCAAAGGTCTTCACACCCCTGTCGGTTGGTTTCGACAAGGCAGATGAAGCGGCACGATTTGCAAGCACACTGCATTTCCACGGCCCAACAGCAGCGAGCGAACCAACATGCTCAAACTGCCGTGCCGCTTCATCTGCCTCGTTGTCGAAACCAACCGACAAGGGTGTGAAGACCTTTGAAATTTACCGTTACAATCCTGATCAACCGGGATCGAAGCGAGAAATGAAGAAGCATGATGCTCACCTGAACATTTATTTGTAGTTTACGCTGTTTTTCTCAGGTATTCATGGTTCCTGCTATAGGACTAGCACTTATGTATCACTGATGGGGCGGATAGCACAGTGGCAGTGATGTCCGTCATCACGACCATGGTGCTAGTTCGATTCCGCTCAAGCCAACTAAGCCCCTCCTCCCCTAAAGTAGGAAAATTGGCACTAGACTTGTATGAAGAAAAAAACACACCCTGCAACTCAAATGGGAACGCTCCAACACTGCTATCTCAGGGTTCCAAAGAGAATTCCACGACCAGCATTCTACGACATTCAGGATGAAATGAAAATCCTCAAGCAGCAAATCAAGGCCACATGTAAAGATTGGAAGATCTTCGTGGACAATGGATACGAGGAAACGAATCGAATGTGAGAAGTGCTGGTATCCGCACGGCTGACGTGAAGACGGGTCATATAAAGAAAAACAAAAAAGATTTATATACTAGTAGTGTTTCACTGAATTCAAACCCCCTTTCCGTACTCTATAAACCAAGTAGTTTAGACTTATGCTTATAACGTTGTGTATTTATCAGTGATTAGACGAAGTCTCGTTCTATACGATAACTTCATGACACCTACACTTTCAGATCCTTGCCACATCGGCAGTTGTACGTGAATCGACCCACTGCCCGTATCGTTACGTATTACGAGAGAGTAAGATTCGCGAATTGCAGGACAACAAGCACTATTTCAAAGTCTTAACATTTACCGGTCAGTCGTTTCTAAATGGTATTCATTCTTTATCAGAGCGGAAACGTAACGAGTTTCATGATGCACACAAAACTAATCATGAATAATAATTTCATGAAAGTGATTTTATACTCGCGACAACTCGTCCGAGCTTATCTGCTCAATAATTGACTCTTTTCGCAGCCTTATCGACAGTTAGGTCCGTCATAGATCTTGTCGTCTATTTGGGTCATTTCCCTCTGAATTTTTGTAACTATATAATGTCGACTGGATTCTTTAATTTAAGGGTCTTGTAAAAATATCGTATAAAATAAACTTATTGAAGTGGTTAAATGCTAGGTCTGAGAAAATGATGCTTTGAAGACGATTATCTCCACAACTCATCGATTTAAAAATATACTTATTTACTTGGACAAAAAATAGTAAAAATAATAAAGGCAAATAAAAAATATGCGAATAAAATAAAGTAAAAATAAGCAGGTAAAAAGATATAGAAAATAAGTGAGTAAATTCGTTATATCTTTGTTGAGCAAACACGAGGCGTTATTTTACTTTTTACTGCTATGAAGCTAATGTCCAGGCTGATTTCGCCCTCCTCATAGCCTGGAAGGGTCAGGTTGATTGCAATCTACCCAGCCAAACACCTCCATAACGAAACAGAGAAAGTGCAAAACCAAGATTTCAATCACAGTGAACAAAGAATAGCTTCCTTGCAGACTCACCACTTTAGGAAAAAAATGAAAGAAAATGGAAGACTCATAAAACGTGGTGAGTGTGCGAAAAAGCTGTTTTGTTTTCAACGCGACTGAAATCTTAATTTAACACTTTCTCTGTTTCGTTATCGAGGTGCTTAGCCGGGTAGATTGCAGTGAACTTGACCATTCCACCTCTGAGGAGAGCTAAATCCGCCGAAATGTCAGCTTAATCGTAATAAGGAATAAAATAGTGCTTTGTGTTTGCTCAACAATAATATAAAGAAATAAGTAAAAATAAAGGTAACATATTTATTTAAGGTATATAAGAATCATCACGATTATTTATATAATTGTTACCATGACTCTTTTCAACTACTAAATCTTGGGGTCTGACGACGCATGCGTCATCCTTTGGGATGGTGCGATCTCTTTGTTATGAAGTTTTAGACATGGAGGGATTGTCAACACGAAACAAAAAACACACGTTCACATCAGAAACGGATGACTGGGTATTGGAAATGTCTATTAAGGTGAGATAAATCGAAAGTCGATGGGAAAACTCGAGATGTAGTGATTTCAATGACAAAGGAATTTCAGGGACTATCAAAAGCCATACCAGATGTTAGTCTTTGTTCTGGATATCAAGCCTTTCTCATGAGCTATCAGCCAGAAAGATCTGGTGAGAAACAATACACCTATGAGGTATGGCGGTAATAGGGATTAATATAGTGTCATTAAGCTGTATAGTTAATATTTCTGCTATTTAGATGAAAGGAAGCAGCATCGGTAATTTGCAAAAGCTTCGGATCGGTATGGGAGAATTGGAAAACACTGAAAATTTCTACATTAAAAAGGTGAAAAAAATCGGATATAATCGTTTCTGATGATTTTACTGGGGCCGTGCTATGAGAAATTTTCTTCGCTCATCTTTTCGTAGTAGTTGTGGTATAACTTCAAACTTCGAACTGTCTTACGTAACTAGAAAGCGAAACGTTGAGGAAAATTAGTCGCTTTTTTCGTCCCCTTTACTAGTTCAATATTTAATTGGTACCTGACGTCAACTCTCATCTTTAGTCTGCTTACTCATCGGGTAACTTAAACTTACTTGATACATGATACTTGAACGACCCGTCCTCACTGGTTGTGGACGACCCAGCGCAACCGTGGACCACTTTTCAGAGATTTGCTGGCTAAGCTATTGTAGTTCTCTGGAATCCCGAGATCAGCCTGGCCAAATTCTGCTCAGGTCGTCACCACGACAGGCAGTCGCAGCCCTTGTGGATCAAAGGGAGATTTGCTACCATGCGACTTTGACACCAGGACGGTGGTGGATCTTGGTATTGATTTACTCTTGGCTAGGCTTCCTGATAGAAACGCTAGACTCCATCTCAGCTTGGAAGACGCTGCTTAGGAGATGAATCTCCCTGCTGTACATCGCCGCCCGACACCCTGGAACAACTCCCAGCTACGATGGAGCGGTAAACCATTGGGAAGGAATAACTCAAAAGGGCTCCAATAAACTTCATTCGTTCTACTGCGCATCAGGGTGGCTCAGTCAACTCCGGTTCATCTAACGAACGGTAACGAAGACATCATACTATCGATATTATACCACTTCTAACGGCTTTGATGGACATCCCGCCACACCTAGTTTTTGGGGGTCTGCCGTGGCATGGGTTAACGCTTGTCCGGGCTACATGGAAACTTCTCACTTTGGGTAACCCTGCCGCGTTCTAATCACCCATCCGTAGTACTTCACAACCCGACGCTAAGAAACATCCCATATCTACGACAATTCCACAACCTATCTAACCTGCGAACTCTAAGCTCGAGTCTATTCGGAAAAATCCAACAGGATGGGAGGACAAATATGCATCATTGCTACAGGTTTTATGCCTGAATTTCTTTAATATAATACGTTGCCAATACTTCTTGAATGAGGAAAGCAACTACGATCAGTAACTCGACCTATTCATTTTCAGATGCGACTAGAAAATCGGTCAACAAAGACAATGGTTCGTTTTCCGAGCGTCGACATCGAATTCGAGAGAAATCAAGTATATGAATTCTCGCCCACCTTTCCGGATGTTCAACCGACGCTCAGTTAGTTTTCATAAACAAAATAAATTCTCGCTTAACATAAACTATACAGCTATCACCTTCCACGAACCGTGGTCCGCATTCGATGTTTAATTGTCTATGGGTTCAGAGCGTAAACTTTTCCCGAATAAATTAATCCCACTTAGTCATCTTTTTCCGTGACTTTATCTTATCCTTACTTTTGTATTTCACATCGATTGCTCTTTTTAAGCACTTTTTCTAACCAACAAATAACCAGTTTAAAGGGAAATTATCTTGATGCCTTTCTTGATTGGTGAAGATCGGCCAAATACGTAGTCACAAGTGTCGCTTTAGATATTCTGTACACGATTTCGCTGACCACCACCGCCAGTTCGGGAACGTTCCACGCTCTGATGAATATTATTGGAGAAAAGGGAGACAGCGGAATGCGCAAATTTCACGACAACGCTCACTTTACCAAAGGATCGGTGAGTTTCATTCAGTCCGAACTGCATTGCTAAAACTACGCAACCATTCAATTCTGTTATTGTTTTACCTATGAAATACAAGAACATCACAACTTACAACGTTTAGAGTCATACCTTTGACATCGATGCTATCAATTTGGGACCACTGAAAGAATTGGACGTACTCATAGAAGGAGATGAGGTCAGAAAAGTATTAGTGATGAAGTATCTAAAGAGTATCCACAATTTTAAACATTTTCTACCAATAGACATACGAAGTCTAATCGTAAATAAAAAAGGATAAAATAACTTACAGAATTCATCGTGGTCTGTTGAAATCGTAGTCGGTATGGCAGACAATAATATACAGTACACAACTGGTTTAGTGTAAGTCTCTACTTTCTTCCTTCATAATGTCACTCTACGGCGCGCGTGGCGAGTGGTCGTAGGCGACCTGCAACGCACACGTGGAATCGATCTCGTGCCCACAGCCCACCAAGCCTTCCATCCCACCGAGTCGGCAGACTGGTACCATACTTCTCTGGAAGGATAGCAGCACTGGCTCGATACATCGGTAGACCACCACGAGGCATTGTAAAGGCCAGATATGCATTCAATCACCCCAAAACGATGCTTAATGAAGTCGAATGCATGGCGCATCTCTCAGGGATGAATCAACGCCGAGAGCTTATCCTTTATCCTTCTATCCTCTACTTTTTTCCTTCATAATGTCACTCTAAATTTCACTCTAACAAACTTTTTGTTTACAGTACCATACCGACGACCGAACAACTTGTACGACTTCCACTTCAACTTCACTAAGATATCAAACTCTCAACGCTCAACTCATTCAAATCGTGTATGAAACAGAAATGCTCAATATAGATATTTAACCAACTTATATTTAAGAACAACATATTTAATAAAAATTTTAACGTCATAATCGTCGTACCTAAGTCAGGACAAGTGGGAATGCCAAAGCTTTCAGATCAAACCGAAATTTATTCGTAAGTTATTTCGTCTTTCATGTTAGCATCTCAAACATGGGCAATAATTATAAAGCTGTTTCTAAAAGAAGGAAAAAGAACTATGCTGAGAAAAGTATATTGTGCCAGTTCAACTTGCACATAAATTCGGTACAAAGATGGTTGAAAGGAAAGATGAGCCAGAAAATATCCTTTTTATCACAAACTTGTAAGAGTTTAGTTGAAAAAACAATATCAGACAGATGAAAGTGTTATAAAGCTAGAATTCTCCAAAAGACGTCGAACACAACAATAGGAATAATAATACAATAACCCACCCAACGGTTTACCGCCTCATCGTGGCTGGGGATGTTCATGGGTGTCGAGCTGTGATGTGTAGCGAGGGTATTCATCCCCATGGCAGAGTCTCCCAAGCTGAGGAGTCCGGAGTTTCCATCAGGAAGCCCAGCTAAAAGTAAACCAATACCAGAATTCGTCACCGTCCCGGTACCAAACTAGTCGCACGGTGGCAAAACTCGCTCTGATCCACAAGGGTGGCGACTGTTGATGGTGGTAACGATCTGAGGCAGACTTTGGCTTGACTAGCTCCGGGGCTCCAGGGAAACACAATGGCTAAAACAGCAAAACTCCGAAAAACGGAGATCATGCTGGAGTCCGCCGTTTTACAGAAACCACTGTAATAGAAATTAGCGGTAGGTAAGAACAGGAAGAGTAAAGTGGAAAAGTAAACGAAAAAGCACTCTTTAAACGGATAAGCCGCAAATATTCAAAGTATACTCTATCACTGGTAATCCTAATAACGATTATCTAAGTAATGAAAGGATTTCTATGTGAATATTTTATCCTATTCTAGGAAGGATATTCTGGGTCATCTCAAAGACTTGGGTTCTGACACGAATTCGCAATTTTGGCCCATAATTTGCTTTTGTATTTCTCGTCGCAGTGCTGTGGTGACAAAAGTACTTCGAAAAAAAGAAAACAAACTGTAAGACTACAGCTTAGCAATAACCGATTAGACCAAAAAAGCTCTCAAGATCCTTTATATTCAAGAAGTTAGCTTCGAGGAACGGAAGGATCTTTGTGCTACTGTGCGACTGGATTCCTCCAGAACGGCAGGGAGTCTTGCCTCTAATCGAACGGCCGCGCATCAGCAGTGATATCTTACGATTTCAGAAAAAGTCACCCTCTCCCAGCATTTAGTGCATCGAAGAACTGCTGCTATCCTCAGGACATATAAAGGTGGACTACCCAACTATCTAAAAAAGTAGATATAGGTCAGGTCACAACACTACCTAAACCACGTCTATATTTATCTGGCTAAGTGACAATGATTCTTAAGCTTTTATGTTGCAGTGCGAATAATTCGCGTAAATGGAAGTACTTGTAACCGCCTTCGGAAATGATCCTCTATACACAGCTTGGCCCAAGCTAATTACATTCCTCATTTCATTTTTAGACATTGAGATCCTCCAGCAGTGTAACCAAAAAAATTTCCCAGAGCTAAGAAACTACAACAGAATAAAAACAGCAAAATGGATATTTTCATTACTACATCACCGGTTTGAATAACATTTGACGAATCACAAAGGTAAAAGTAAAAGAGCAGTAAATGTTTCTAAGTGCAAAAATAACAAACATCTCATTTCCCTATGCAAAACTGTTTAAAGAGATCATCAAGAATCTGTTCGTTAACAGTCGACCCGGTCATTTCACCAAAAATATCCAAAGCTCGTTGAATATGATCGCACAGAAGCGCCGAGTCACGAACTGACAGCGCGCATTCTAGTTCTCCACGAGCCTCACTGTAAGGTGAAAACCTTTACGCATGCAAAAGTATCAGTCTATTCGATGAAGCAATCACAATACGATTATTACTGAAATATCTTTTTCATCTATTTTTGTATGACCCGTCTTCACGTCTACTGTGCGGATCCCAACACTTCTCACATTCGATTCCTTTTCTCGCATCAATTACCCACGAAGATCTTCCAACTTTTACGTGTGGCTTCAGCTGCTGCTTGAGAATTTTCATTTCATCTCGAATGTTGTAGAATCCTGGTCGAGCAGTTCTCCTTAGAGTCCTCAGATAGCCAAGCTGGAGTGTTCCCATTTGGACTGGATAGAGTGATTTTTTCCCGGACAAGTCCGGTACCAATTCTCCTACCCCGGAGGGCTGAGAGGCTTGGTTGGCCTGAGGCAGAATCGAAATAGCACTACGCTCGTGATGACCGACATCACTACCACTGTGCTATTCACTTCATGTTAGTGGAATACAGCGCCAAATTTTCAAAAATTACTATACTAAGCGGTGGTGAGTTTGGCGCAATGGTGCAATACATCGTGGTATTTAGCTCAGCCACGCGTTCTGGACGAACCAAACATTCCATTCCTACATTTAGGGCAAACGGATAGCGAATTCATTGAGAATTTTCATTTCATCTCGAATGTCGTAGAATCCTGGTCGAGCAGTTCTCCTTAGAGTCCTCAGATAGCCAAGCTGGAGTGTTCCCATTTGGACTGGATAGAGTGATTTTTTTCCGCGATAGAGTGTCTGCGAGGATAAAAAGAACTGGTTTAATATATCGGTAGGCCCTTGCTAGCTATTTTTGCAGACCAAATTTGCAATCAATGACTTCCTCGACCCATGAGGGATAAGCAGCGTTTACCGAAGTTGGTCCACTGGAACACAAGCAATTTTCCGGTCTTTTTTACAATGAAAAGAAATTTCTCAATAAGTAGAAGAGTCGTTGGAAATATTTTCCACCTAACATTGAGTCAATTTCGGTGCTTTTTATACCTCCACATTCCGTTACAACAAAGATAGCGAATGAAATGAAATAACAGTTAACTGTTGGCCACATTACGGCCCAATGAACTTTTTCACAAAAAGAAGGCTTTTCGTAAATCACTAAGTGTGGAGAATAATTTTCTTATCTCATCTCTCTTCTGATTTGCTTTCGATTAGCTACAGAATATATAAACATATATATATATATATATATATATATAAACATATATATATATAATATATATATATAGTGTGGTGGAAAAAATTTGGAATCCGTTTAAATGAAAATCAGCACCATAGTGCTCAAATTGTCCCTTAGCACCGAGCCATAGGAACACTAGTTTCCATACCGGGCATTATGGGTTAATAAAGCCCTGTGCATTGTGAATCTCTATGAAATTGATCAACACCAAATGGTTCAATGTTAAACTTAGACAAACCTCAACAGTTGTGTGTCGGTCATATATGGTCCAATATCATTAGGGCAAAGATTACCCACGAATCTCTCAAGCGAATTCATCAATGGTTGTACACCTACAAGAATACACATTCGTGCTTGGTAACTTCAGAAGACTTTACTGCACAGCTAGTGGGTAAGAAATTAAAGTCATCAGGAATTCCCAAAACCAACTTCCTGTTCACCTCGGCATTGATTGATAATTCGATGTTTTTCTTCAATAAAATAATATATCAATATTACGCGTAAATTAGAGGGTTGGCAAAGGGGCAGCGACTGGCACCAACCTTCGCCGTTGATTTCATGTCTAAAGTAGAAGCACCAGTAATCGATCTCAGGTCATTACTCTACTGTAGGTATATAGATGAATGTTTTGTCATCTACGCCACACGAAAGGAGATGGACAAACGCTTTGAGTTATTGAACGAACAGTCAGACTACATAAAATCCACCCGTGAGAAACCGAAAGAAAACTGGCTTCCATTTCTAAACCTTCAAATTATCACCTGTATTACCTGTGGTCCCGTTGATCGTCGAATGATTCGAGCGGGCACCAGGAAATCCTCCATTTTTCCCTGTCGCCTGCAAAAGTAGACCAGTGGGTTCTGCTCGCTCAAGGGACTCGTCGAGCATCATATCTCTCTTCTAGGCTTCTCGTGAAAAACTCTGACCATCCGATTGGTGGTCTTTCTGCAGTATGTTTGACATCCCGAAGAACCCAGTCACTAGCGGCTCTTGTCCATCGGTTGTCATTCGTACGCATTATGTGTCCGGTCCACCTTATCTTCGACTGTTTGGCGTACAGAACGGCACCTTTGATTTTTGATCGCTGACGCAGATCGGAGTTTCTGATCCCATCCCTTACTTGTGTGAAACGAGATACTCCCAGCATCGTCCTTTCGACTGCTACTTCGATAACGCTGAGTAATCTTTCATCCTGCTTACCCAGCGACCAGGTTTCTGACGCATATGTTAGGGCAGAAAGCACCGTTGAGTCGAAAAGGTGTGCACGGAGTCGGGTGCTCTTTGTTCTTTTCACTACATCCTCGATGCTCTTAAAAACACCCCAAGCCGCTCGTTTCCTTCTGCTCAGCTCTGGAGCTAGGTCGTTCATCATACTAATTTCCCGACCTAAATAAATATAACTGGAGCATTCGGAAACATTCGTCTCGTTGAGCGTGAAAGAGCCATGCGAAACCGTTCTTCATGAACATCGTTTTTGTGAGATATAGTCGAAGACCAACCTTTCCACAGGCTTTATCAAAGTCGTCAAGCATACGTTCCGCTTCATTAACGTTTGGCGCTATAAGGACGATGTCATCATCAAGGCGAAGATGATATAACTTGCGACCATCGATTTTCACTACCATATTATCCCATTGTAATGTTCGCATGACATTCTGGAAGGTGGCTGTAAATAATTTTGGCGAGATGGTATCGCCTTGCCTAACTCCTCTTTTGACATGAATGTTAACATCGTTGTAGAATGGTGATATCTTGGTTGTGAAATTTTTGTACAGGTCACGAAGAATCTTTATGTACCGAGTAGGGGCTCCTTGACTATCAACGGCTTCCCAAACTGCTACCACCTCAACTGAATCAAAGGCCTTCTGTAAGTCGATGAATGTGAGACAGAGCGGTCTTTTGTGCACTCGCGATACTTCAATGAGCCGTGTTACCGTGTGGATGTGGTCCATCGTACTAAATCTTCTTTGAAACCCTGCCTGCTCACATGGCTGTCCTTCGTCTAGTGTTCTGTCAATCCTGTTTAGGATGACTCTAGTGAAAAGTTTGTAGACGACAGTAAGCAGATTGGGCGATAGTTGCCGATATCGTGCAGGTCAGCCTTCTTGAACAATAACACGGTCTCGCTGGTCTTCCACTGAGTAGGGACCTTACATTCAGACAGGTAACGTGTGAAGAGCCGAGCCAGTGTGTTTACGAGGATTGGCAGAAGGTTCTTCAGGTGTTGTGGTTTTATCCTGTCCGGACCTGGTGCTGTTCGATTTTTCACCGACGAAATGGCATGTCGGAGGATTTCGGAAGGGAGAACCGGTGGTACAACATATCCGTCCTCCTTTATTTCATATGACGGAAGGTGGACGTGGCTATCGAAGAGATCTGAGTAGTATTCGTAAACGATTTTCTCCATTGCCTTTCTGGATGGGCTACCGTCTGGGCGTCGGAGTGCAATCATCTTGGTCTTGTAAGTGGCGAAGCTTCGGTGGGCTTTGCGAACTTTTCCCAGCATCTGCAGCTTCGGCCATTACTGCTGCTCTTCTCTCTCTCTAAGATCTTCTTTTATCGCCTCTCTGCATTGCTTTGCAAGTTCGGACGTTATTTCGCGGTTGCCTGCAGCTCGTGCGATTCCACGCTGGCGTATCAGCTCGAATGTTTCAGGAGACAGACGTCTCTTGGTGAATTTCGAACTCTTAGCTTTCATAGCGCTAGCATAAAGATGTTTAATGAGCTGATCGTATTCTTCTTCGATGTTATCGATAACGGCATCTTCCCAACAGCCGACTAATGAATTGAATAAACCAAAGCTTCTGGAATTGCGAGTTACCATGGATTGTCTTATTCACCACGATAAACTCAGATAGCCGCTCACCCTGTCCGCTCCATTCTAATCCGTGGGTCCCAATGTGACGTTCTTCAGACGTTCTTCTTGGTCCAATCTTAGAGTTGAAGTCTCCAATGATGCCCTTGAAGAATGTGTGGTCTTCTCTGTAGAACTTCTCCAAGTCCATATAGGACGCTTCGACTTCTTCTTCGTCATAGTTTGATGTCGGCGCATAAACGACGAAGATTGCCAAAGCTGGAATTGATCCACGTTTTTTTAATCGTAAACATCCGATTCGGGTTGTAAGTTGTTCAAGTGAATCGATGTTCATGGACAAACTCGTGTTGACGACAACGCCGATGCCGCCGACTCCTCCATTGTCGCCTGTTCCAGGAAGCAGTTCTTCTCCAGTGTCATAGACGGCGTTGAAAGGTTGCCGTCTCCTCGTCTCGGCCAGGCCGATGACCATGTACCTTATCCTTCTTGCTTGCATGAGCAAGTCTTCTATCGAGGACTCGGATGCAAGGGTACGTGCATTGTAGGTACAGGTCGTCACCATAGTTCTTTGAAATCCAAGCAGCTTCCATTTGCTGTGAGATTTTAGCAGCCTCTCCGTACTCGTCCTACGAAACCCTGCGAGATTGGATGCTCTTTTGGGGTCATGAGAATGAGACCCGTTTTTTTACTGCGTTTAGTATTTTTTAATATCCAGGTATAGCTTGCTGGGCTCTGAACGTGGGGGGCTGAGTAGCTGAGTATACTCACGGGTAGCTTGCCATTCTCTCCCAGAGTGGACATGGAGCTTATTTGTTGGAGGCGACTCCTAACCGCCTCCCATATACTTCCCAGTCAATTGATTGCAGGCTTTTGCCCGAATTGATTCGTAGAATACAATCCGCATAAGCAAGAACGCTCCCACACACGCACGCATGAACACGCCTAGGAAACGCAGAAAGTATGTGCGAAATAAGCGCAGCAGAAACAGGGAGTCCGTCCCCTGGGTCCACCTGCATCTCAGAGAAACATACGGTCGCTTTTAGTCCGCGATTATCCCCCTATCCACCACCTAGGAACGCGCCACGTAGCCTCGCGACTAACCGGCTCGAGATCTCTCATATGAGGGAGATCCTTGGTACAAATTAACCTACCCGAAAACGGCTACATCACAAAGTAGTACCAAAAGTCAAGTGGTAAGAATATAGTGGTTCATTACCTATCCTCTCATCCCTCGTACACTAAAAGGGCGCTTATAAGATATATGTTTAGAACCGCCGCCAACGTGTGCACAGATAGAAAGCAGTGGGAAGAATCGTCGAAACTGGAGCGCCAAATAGCCATTTCGAATGGTCACGAAACTGTAGCTTCTCGGCATAGGCATCGAGGAAATCCCACGCCCCAGAACGATAATTCTAGCGAAAACAAGGCCTTGTTCCTCTTGCCCTTTATCTCACGAAATAAGTCAGATATAAAGCTATAAAACGTTGCTTAAGAAGGACGGGTCTAGAGAATTCGGTAAACTTAGTTGAAATACCACCGAGTACTCTTAGGCGCCAGCTAGTTCGTAACCGCCTATACGACTGTCTATGTGCAACGCAAAATTTCATAATTTGCCCCAATGGTATAGAAGGTGATTGCATGAGCTCGGATACAGTTTAACTCATTACCTGTAAGGCGTGCGGAGACGAATACGTTGGCGAAACGGGTAGACCACTATGTGTCCGCATAAAAGAACTCCTAGTCGGTAAACGTAAACCAAATACCCCACTAGGCACGCATAGGACCCAAAGACATAACGGGGACGACTTTGAAGCATGTGTCACCATCCTCGTACGCGAATCAAGAACACAGGCGTGAAAAACTCTCGAGGCATTCTGGATTAATTCCAGAAATCCGAAAATGAACCGCAGAGAAGAATGCCTCATTATCACGCGTGATATTGGGCAGTATACAAGGCTGTTATTCTGATGGGAGGGGCACATTACGCTTCCATGTGAATTCTGTGCGGTTGGTCTCCACGCGACATACTCAGTGGAAGACTCATAGAAAGCGGTGAGTGTGCAAAACTGTGTTTAATGTGATTGAAATCTTGGTTTAGTCTATAGTCTTTAATTTTTTTCTTCGTTTGGTTATGGAGGTGTTTGGCTGAATAGATTGCTGTCAACTTGACCATTCCAGGCTCCGGAAAGGCGAAATCCGCCGGAACGTCAGCTTATTCGTGATTAAAGAATAAAATAACACCTCGCGCTTGCCCAACAAGGATACGAAGAATTACTTGGTCAATGCCTAGGTTAATAGAAAGTCGGTCGTGGAATTTGTCGTGTTTATATTTTCTTCAATTAACATCCTCATCGCTGACAACAGTGGTCGTCGACCCTCTTCATCTTCAAGTTAGCCAGTACACTTGAGTAGCCGATTTGAGTAGTTCTCGAAAAACTGTTGTTCTATGGTTAAAACGATTTCTACTACAGGTCTCTTGCGCTTCTGGATAGAAATAATGAACTATCATGACCACGAAATGAATTCCTTGCTATGCACCACGAATGAGGTAGTAAATCGTTGAAAACCAAATTACAGGGACATAATTTTTGTTTAAAATATCCTAAAGTCATTTCCGCAAAGATGGAAACCCAGTTGCTTTATCACAATTGGTGTGAAAACAGAATGTTAGGCAGCACTAATCAAGTTGCAATACCTAAATCCACATGTTAATACTGTGAAGTACCTGGTCGCTTAAATATAAAATTTCAGCCACAAGGTTGCTAAAACATGCACAAAACTTCGAATCTCAGTTGGGCTTCGAACCCACAATTACCCTTTCCGAGGTCTCACGTGGTATCCACCTCATCAACCATGGCCCTTGATTTACTTTCCAATGAGCCATATTTTCCTCTATCGCTGCTATTAGCAATCATCCGTCAACAGTAATGAGATCGAGATACAAGGTCAGAACACCCTTTTGCGTGTATTTCATATCGTACTCTGCCAGGAAAGAGGGTAGATAGTAAGTAAAAGTTAAAACATCAAAAAAAAATTTAAGTTCTAAGACTTAATGATGCAAAACAGAAACTCCCACGTCCGACTTTCTATTAACCTCGGCATTGATTGAACAATTCTTTCTACTTCTGTTCAGCAAAACAGAAAACTCACAAAATTGTAAAATGAGTAAAAGGAATATGAGAGTAAAAGCGATATTCAAGAGACGTTTCTAGGAAGGAATAACCTCATTTACGGTCTGAAAAATCTAGAATAACAATAGCAAACATGAAGAGAAAAGAAATGCACAGAAAAAGTTATATTATAGAAAAGGTGATAGCTGGAAAACTGCAGCTGTAGCCTACAAATAACCAAAATTAGGATACGGGAAGTTGAAAGTTTTGCCACTCCTAAACAAATATTCTTACCTTCGACATTAAGAGCGCATGTGTCTACGGATTCAATGACGTTCAACCGTGACGTCGACTTAACATCTCCAAAAGATCGGTCCCCCACTAAGTCGCATTTGTTTCTTACAATGAGCACCGGTAAGGTGGTCTCAGTCAATTCCTGAACAATCATGCTATTCCAGAGCCGAGTTAAACCCGATAAAGCAGCCACAAAGAGCATAAAAATGGAATGCAAAGCAAAAATTTATAATAACAAATCCTAGTTAACCTTATTAGCACGCTCTGCTACCTTAATTCTGCACCTGTTAAAATTGAACAGTTAATTCAGTTCACCCCACATGGCGCTACACCCCATCGATCTTTTCGGCGTAAACAACATGGCAGCAGTTTCGACATTCTTAAAAACATAGGCGCCTATCTCATAGCACGCTCATCTCTGCACATCTTCCACTCGCTTCGTTTCAACGCGATGGATTTGCATGTGGATTAGGCTCTCAGTTAAGGGTCCTTTTGTTCTAATTGACAAGTTGATTGCTGGTGAGTTGTGGTTTTCCGTGGAATTCCTCGTTAACACAGCCAATCACAGGCGTTTTGTTCCAGCGGGTGGTTTGATGTCCTATGAACCAGAGTCAACCAGTACGACAACGGCTTACGTAACGGCAGCGAATTCCACCATTTCTCAACGGACTGCTCGAGAATGACATCATGAGTCAAGAAAGTTATAAGACAGGTAAAAAACAGTATACAGATCATTGGATCATTGGGTTTTTCAATTCCGAATATACAGACGCATGTCCACTCTTACATTTTCCATCTTACAACTTGATATTAAAAGTATTCACTGAACCAAGTAATAATTTACTTTAAAGATTTAGGCGAAAAAATTTTGATCAATCCCTAAGGGATGCGCCATGCGTTCGACTTCATTGAGCGTCGTTGTAGGTGATTGAGTGCTTATCTGGCCTTTACAATGACTCCGGGTGGCCTATCGATGTATCGATCCACTGCTGCTACCCTCCTAGACAAGTCTGGTACCAATTTGCCGACCCCGAAGGGATGAAAGACTTGGTGAGCCTAGGGCGTGGAGATCGATCCCATGTGTATTGGAGGGCGCCTCCGACCACTGCAATACATGCTCCCCTTAAAAAAGTTATACACTCTTAAAACTATAATACGTTTTTTCCACCTCAATTTCTGCTAAGATGGATTTCAATTCCGACTCAGGACCAGTGGCATCAACGACGGCTATCACGACATCGGCTTCCAATATTCTAAATACGCACTTTGAATAATGTGATTTATCAAAATTCTAACAACCACCACGCTTAGTACTTCTCCTCCTCTCAATAATAGCTATCTTTTATCGTGGTTGATGGGTGTTCATTGGTATCAAAATGCGGTGCACTATTGGAGTTCACCACTACGGAAGGCTAACCCAAGCCGACGAAGAGTCAGCTATTTCCCTCCAGATAAACAACCTATCACTGAGAGCCAAAATCACAACAGGAATAGGTAAGTGGACTCGTAGCCACCTATTCCCCAAAATTAATAAGATTCTAGCGCTCATACTAAAACAGTTATATTTTCCGCCCTAATTAAGCAAGCGAAGCCTACATGATAGCTATAAAAGGAACGGGTGTAGGACTGATGTCACCTTTAGTCACTTCCATTAATGGGTTTAAAGAGGATACAACAGGCCACACAAACTCCATCGTAAATACTTCGTAAGTACTGGTAGCCTATTCAGTGCTCACTTTTGCTTCGCTCGGTCAATTCCTTTCTTCTCCAATGCATCAGCAGTTTCTCGAATTCCAGCTGTATCTGTTAAAGACATCGGTACACCTGCGATATTCAGCCGCACCTATGAATAACTTATTTTTTGAATAAAACATTTCACAAGGAAATTTTTAACAAGCAAAACATTCTGCGCCTACTTCAATGCTATCTCGTGTGGTGCCTGCTTGTTCAGAAACAATAGCCACGTCTCGTTGAGCTAAAGGATGTGCGGAATTAAACTATTGCATAAATCGATGTCATGACCTCGAGTACAATACAAATTACGGTATGGGTTTAAAAATAGACTTCTTGCAACGACCTTTAAAAATTTCTTAAGGTTCTCGTCAGTGAAACCTAATGAGCGATTAAAATCATAGAACTAACTAAGAGCGTTCATCAGACTGCTTTTGCCTGTATTCGGACGACCAAAAATCACAGCCCGTAAACCACGATGAACAATTTCGGCTCCTTTGGCTCTCCTTTCCAACAATATTACCTCTTTCAAAATCGGAACAAGGATCTCTCTAAAAGTGATGTCTTTAATTTCATTCAGAACACCAGCACCTAAAAAAATTCGAGAGTAAGAGAAATGGCCCAATGGTTTGGCAATACACACGTTTTCTTTGGTTCCTTCAATTGCCCAAGCAAACCAAATCCTCCATTCCTGAGATTGGCAAATTAGTACCAAACTTGCCTGAGAGGATAGCAGCACTGACTTCATATATCAGCAGGCCCTTGAAAGCCATTTTGTAGACCGAATATGCATTGAATCACATTTACGATACGTAATGGAGTCGAATGCAAACGCATTTCGATCAACTCTCGATGCTTAAACTTTATCCTTCTATGGTAACGAATGGGAAAGACCGTGCTCAATCATGGTAATAAGTTTATAGCAGCTACTACAGTAGGCAATGGGTGACCTCCAATTTTAAAAATTCGGTAAATGTGGCAAATTGTTTTCTTAAGTGTTTTTGAAAGGAATAAAGAGCTCCCAACTTTTCATGATTATCTTGTGACTTTGTAAGAGGACCTTATGTATCCAGCAAGGAAATAACCATAGGGAAAACTTTGAGGCGTTATGCAGGAAAAGCCACAAAACCTCGCCTGTGACAAGCAAGCCCTGGTAGCCAACACTTTGAGGAAAAATGCATTGAAGTCCTTTACATGTATTTAAAACCGAATCTAAGCTACATAATACCTACTGTACATCATCGATGCTGCTGCTCACATGTTCGCCGAAGTCCATCAGAACGAAAGTGCGCATCATCGCCTCGGACAACATATCACTTAAATTTGAAATTCTTAGCAAATACGTTGGAACATTACTAACAAAATATGAGAGCAGCTTGTGGGTAAATGCATTTGTAAAAGCTTTCAAACCACCAAATGGTTTCTCATACAGCTAATCATGGAAATTTCCTTGTCAGAGACTGTATAAAAAAGCCAATGTACAAAAAAATTGGTGCTCTTCGAGCAAGCAGAACTCATTGCACAGTTTTGACACGTGACAGGGACGCACGGAGAATCTATTCGTATTTGCTCGAGTCATTCCATGATCGCCGAGATTATAGGTGATCCAATATAGCACGAGTAATTCCCACGACCGACTTTCTATTAACCTCGGCATTGTTTAAATTGTCCTCGATATTCTTGTTGAATAAAACGAGGTGGTGCTTAATTCTTTGTTCCGTTAAAGCTGACGTTTTGACATCATCGCCTTCCTCAGACCCTAGAAGTCTACATTGATATGCAATCTACTATGCCAAATGCTTCAAGAACACAGAAAGATAAAAACCTATATGGCAATCACATGACTAACAGCTTCTCGAAAAATCCACCGTTTTTTACGTGCCTTCCACTGAAGAAGAAGAGCTGATCAGAGTCGCATAAGGTCGATGAATGCACCACCCTTCATCAAAAGTCGATGCAAAAGTACGGGATGAGATCACGTGTGATCTCTGAGCCTTCCTCCCTAATCCTTTTAGAGTTCTCGGCATTTATATATACCTTTCCAGGCTCTGAAGAAGGCAATACTGCCAAAACGTCACCTTTAACGGAATAAAGGATAGCATAGATAGTTTATTTTCGTTTAGGAAAGACGTTGAACAGCAGCAAAGGTCGTGCCCACCTTCTGGGAGCTTGTTGAATGCGCCTCCCAACTCGACCAACAAGGCGATACTACGCTTTTTGAATACACATCTCATACAATACTGTTCAAATTAGAAGCACTGGCCAGCTGGTCTAGCCAAAATAATCGATGCAGCCGATATAATCAACACACATTCTTAGCCTTAATGTCGCTTAAGCGTTAAAAAACACTTAAGATGTAGAGAAGAGGTAAACACACCGAGTTCGACGCGCTTCGGATCCACCTCGCATCTGACTGAATGACATCTGACGTTGCCGTTCAGTTTCAGCATTGATTAAATTGCGCAGTCCACGTACTTCATGAAAGTCCATCTTTCCATTGAAGAAAGCCCTAGACGTAGACGATCCCTTACTAATGAAAAGAATACTGACAAATGGAAAAACCATCTTTAAAGTACGGGAAATCTTCCCGTTTGGTGAGACAAACCATTCGAAACTAAAACATTACCTCTTGGTGAATTCACCTCGAGTCGCTTGACGTACTTCTTCAAAACTCATTAATCGTTTCGACAAAGCATCAGCTACAGCTCGGCTACCGTGCACGAACAGTTCAGCAGTGTCCTCGCCGGTAAACGTTGATGGACCTATGCCAAAAAGTGAGTAAGATTAAAGTGCAAGCATATCGGATTTCCTAAATCCTGTTGTGAAAATAAGATTAAACGATTTTTAAAAAAGAAACGCCCTAAGGCTATTGATCACTGATCACATTTCTATTGTGCTTTTGCTCCGTGAAAAGTCCACTAATAACACTACACATAATTCTAAAACATACGAGTCAAATATGGATCATACCCAAAAGCAAAATTTGGTCTTCTGATTTTAAACAGGTATATCTGGACTTGGGGCATGTGTAGGGCAGTGGTCAGCAGTGCATGCGATACACACGGATTCGATCCCGCGCCCTAGGCTCAACAAGCCCTCCATCCTTCCGGGGTCGGCAAACTGATCTTAGACCAATCTTGAAGAATAGCAGCACTGACGCGATACATCATTAGGCCACCGCGAGTCATTGTATAGGCCAGCTGTGAATTCAGCCACCTCTGATGATACTTGATAAAGTCGAATGTACGGCGCATCACTCAGGGATTGACCAACGAGGAGAGCTCTGCCCTTTTATCCTTTATACATGGCCTTATGGTTAACATTGCTAAACAATGAAAAGTGGGTGTTGTGCATACTTCGTTATTAACCATTTCGAAATGTTTTTTTTTCTTTTTATGAAAACTGGAGTGACGAAGGGATGAATGGAACATTTCTTCAGTCAATTTCAACCACTATTATTAGCAGCCAAAATCCTGTATAAAAGGGCGTCGCAGGGTGAGTATGCGTCATTCGAGAGACCTTCCACTGAGGAAAATCTGACTCTACACGAAGACGAAGACCATATCGAGAAGAACTAACTGTGGACTATGGACTCGGATAACCGGCTGTGATGAAGACGTCTAAACGTTAACCTAACAAACCGTATTATAAACTTCGTGTAAGCTCAACAATTTGAACACAATACAGATAATAGTTTATTCCCCTTTTATGTTACACTACCTATGGTGACGAAGACCTGTAAACGCCTAATCACGCCTAGTTTACGGTTAAGAAAAAGTTCTCTAATAGATAAAACCTCTTTACAATTCTTTCTACTTCTGTTCAGCAAACACGAGGTGTTACTTTACATCTTTATTTACGTACAAGCTAGAAAGTAGGTAAGTACAACCTAGTAAAGCTAATAGAAAGTCGGACTTGGGAGTTCCTCTTTACAATCTTTAGAACCTTAGATTGAATATTCCAATATGACTCCAACAGATAGGAAGGAGAATGAACATCGTTGGTAGATGGTGGCTCACAGAGATCATGTCATTTCACTGTCATCCTTCCATTCTAACTCAAACAGCATGACATTGAAAATTTGCATGCTTATAGAAGAGATTTCTCTCTCACTATAAAAGTATAGATTACTCTTCCAAGGTTACAGCTTGGGTACAGAAAGCAAAGTTGTTACAGAATCAGTGGAATAGATACTTGGTTGCTATTTCAAATTGTCCGAGCCAATAAAGCTCCCAATACTTCCGAGATCGGAAAATTGGCATCAGACCTCTTCGCTAAAGCTTGGTCCGATACAAAAACTTGGCGACTGCATGCAATGAGGGCTCGGGAACGCTTTGGCAGAGCTATGACTATAAAAAGAATTAAGTCGACCGACATTCAACGAAATTCACAGGAAGGACACAATACCCAATTAGTATTGGAAACAACACGCAAACCCGATAACATTCACGAACAGATTCGATACTGAGATGGATCGTCTTCACTAGTACGGAGAACCGGAGCACATTTTCCATTCGCTTCTTTTGCATGTAGTCGTCTTCCTAATGGAGGTCTGCTTTGAGCACAGTGACATACAAGAGGCATATTTCGAGATCTTGAAATCGTTTCCATCTGCATTTGGGGATGATTGACGTAAGCCACAAATAAGTCTGCTCATCGTTTGAGCAGTCTTCCAATAGGACGCTTGCATTTCCTTGGAGTCCATTCTACTGTTTTTTTCGTGCATCTGTTTTCTTCTCTTCTTTTTACGTGACCAACCCATCTGTGCTTCGATGTCGATGTTTGTTCCCCTGCATCCTGAGGATGAGATTGGTTTTGAAAATCTGAGCTTCTCATTCCTCCTAGAAGTCGTGAGTGCTGGTTAAAATTCAGAAGACATTGTTAAAGGGCTCTGTGAGTAGATCACAGTAATCTTGACGTCGTTGAGGTATCGGCCCACATCCCCGCTGCATGTGAGCGCTAGGAGGACTCTCGAATCGAAAATGCCACTTTCTCGGTGGCATCTTTGAAAGACCCGAATGAGGCCCATACTGCTCTCTTTCCTAAGTCTAATTCCTCTTTCATGTTGTTCTCCACGTTCACTTAATGTCCAAGGTACGCATATGAAGTTGCCTCTGTAAATTGTAACCGCATAGTTCGATTTGTTCACCTTCGTACCAAGAGTCCCTGTCCTATTTATGCGCAGTCCAATCTTCTTTCCCGTTTGGTGAATTTAATTAAACGTCGTATCTGCTTCATCGGTGGTACTGGAAAAGACAATAATGTCGTCGGCAAAGCGAGAATTTGATACGAATTCCCTTCTCGTCCCAGTCGAGCCGATTTCATTATCCACTGCAATGTTGCCTGAAGAGCTTTGGTGAGATGGTGTCGCTTTGTCAAATCCCTTTTCTTAAGGGTATGCCAAGAAACCGATGGAAAAGCTGTATGTTGGCAGTAAAGTTTCAATAACGGTTAGATAGAGTTCTTATGCAGGACGGGTCCACTCCTTAGTCGACGAGCTCTGATAGGATTGCATTCCTTTCGACACTGTCAAACGCTTTTTCTTAGTCGACAAAGGATAGAACTAGAGGCAGGTGGTATTCGTGACAAATTTCGCTGACCCCAGACATGGTTTGGATATGATTTACACAGCAAAGTCACAATTCTCATTCCGCCTACAATTCCGCGAGTTCAACTGGTCGTCCTTTACTCATAGATCATGATATGCATCTACGCGAATTACGTGTGCAAAACTGGGAGTAAAATGAAGGAAGTGCTGGAGTTGCCACGATATGTGAAGAAGTGTAATATGAATCAATAAAATGCGTTAACTTTAATCTGGTACTCATTCTTTTTCAGCATAAAGTACTATGTGAAATTTAACTACAAGGACCCTGAAATATGAGCAAAATTTGGAAACTCAGATGGACTTCGAACTCGTGATTATACTCAGCCACGTCTTTACTTTTTCAACGGTTTTTCACGTCTAATGTTCAGATCACAGTACTGCCCGCATTATGGAGCCTTGAGATAGCCGGACTAGAGCGTTCTCACTGGATTGAAGACAGTGAACTTTTCCAGACAAGCCCTGTGCCAATTCTCTGACCCCGCAAGGATGAAAGGCATGGTGAGCTCGAAAGCCTGCCGCAGGATTGAACTAGCACTGTTCTCGTGATAATCAGCATCACCACCATCGTGCCACCGGCACCCTCGTTTTTATTTTCAAGTTAATATAATTTACTTTTCCGAAATTTTTCGCTTCACCTTAACAAACTACTAATTGGATAAAAAAATAAACTTCAAGAGCAAGTGCTGAAAGTGCCATAATCAGTGACTCATCCAAGGACACCAAACTATTCAGTTGGATGAAATTCCGTCTGTTCGTTATTTAGAGAAATGCCCAGCTTCAAATTTCGAGCTGCAGAGACTCTAGAACTTTGCCGAAAACGTCAGTTTCTCTAATCAAGAAGTTCTAAAGATTACGCAACGAAGAAATTGCCAATGAAGAAAAGAATTTTGGGGTTCACAGACTTCAACATTATATTTCAAACGAGTTTTAAAAGATGCTAGCTTTAAAAGAGTCACTTTATCGGCAACCTTATACAACAAATTATTGAAGACTACCGCGTGCCGGTTGTACAACGCTTCGCTGCTTGTTATCGCAGAGAAAAATTGGCCCTTTTCAGTTGACTCCATAAACCTGGCCAAAGTCGGCCCCAGGTCGTCACCACCACGAGCATTCGCCGATGTTGTGGATCAGAGGAAGACTTGCCACTATGCGGTTAGTTTTATACCAAAACGGTGGTGCATCCTGCTAACGGTTTACTCTTAGTTGTGCTTCCCGATGGAAACGCCGGGCTCCTTCTCAGGTTGGGAGAGCCTGCTAGGGGGATGAATCCTCCCATTGTACATCGCAGCCCGACACACATGAACACCTTCCCACCACGATGAGGCGGTAAACCGTTGGGAGGTGTATTATATATGGTATCATAGACGACCAAATTCTCTGCGGATGTTAAAAAACAAAGCGCGGTCAAAAACCAACGACTTCTTTGATTCTCGTTCAATTCGTTCATCCATTTTTAGACCTGTTTCGACTTCCCAATCTTTTTAGGTGCGCCAAAACAATTGCGATGTTTGCACCGAGTTCTCCTGCAAGTTCTCAAACAAATGTGTTTGTATTTGCTTCAAATCTTATACACCGCCATTAATAGCAGAAGGCCGTCCGCGACTTTCCTCATCTTAAACGTCGAATTCCTCTCAACAGAGTTTTTCCAACCAATGATGCACAAGGCATCCACTAACAATTTCTCGGTCGCACCTTCACTGTTTCGAGCTGCTTGTGCTGCATGGGTGAGTTGAATTCGTGAAATTAGATTTGTCTAAACTGTTGTTTCGACACCTCAATTTCCAACTTTTAAAATTTCTTATTAACATAATTTATACTATAAATGACAACCGACCCAATAGTCAGAGCTCTTCGTGTGAAGCCTAGAAAAAAGATATATGTGCTCAACAAGTCCCTAGACCGAGCAGAACTCACTGAGCTACTTTTGCACGCGACAGGGAAAAATGGTAGATTTACTGGCACCCGCTCGAGTCACTCGACGATCAACGGGACTACAGGTGATACAGGTGATACTATAAATTAATGATTTATGGCGAAAAGCGCATAAGACGAGATTCGTCATGATATATAATAGTATAGCATTCAGAAAATTATACCACTAAAACATGTACGAGAGAAATGAAATCCCGAGCCCAACATTAATTTCCGAACAAACTGATAGGACCATTAACAGAGGCGATACTGTAAAATAGAGTAATCTTATGCACCTGGCAAATAAACCGCCATCGCCGTATCGAGAACTTCTTTTTCCTTTGTGAAAATTTTCGTATACTGCATTCGTGCCGGTTCCCAAATCTTTTTCCGAGTTATCTCACGTAGTATCGGTAGCGATCGACTACCTGCAACGAAAATTTGCTACTGTGAATCTCGAAAACTCCTAAACAAAGTGTGATCACTACTTAGAAATAATAGATTGAAGTTTAGAAAATATCAATAAACTCCGACCACTAATACTCAATAAGTAAGCCATGAGGCTGGGGCACTGGGATAGGTATTTAAGACATGTTATAGAAGAACAGAACTGATTTTACTTTTGTTTCGAGACCCTACTGGATTCAGGAAGTAAAAAACCCTCCTCTTTCTGAGCAGGACTAATACGCGATTTCAATTTGCATATAAGCATAACCATGCGTGAGCGGGTGTTTCTGGGGCCATACCACTGGGGCAAATTATGCAATTCTGCGTTGCACATAGACGGTCGTATAGGCGGTTACGAACTAACTGGAGTCTAAGATTACTCGGTGGCATTTCAATTATCGTTACCGAATTCTCTAGACCGGCCCTTTTTAAACAGCGTTTTATAGCTGCACTTACTTCATTTGAAATGAAGGGCAGTATAAACATATAAAAAAATAAATAGATACAATATATTATATAAATAATGAGATAATATATAATAATATAATGATATAATATATCATATAAATACATTATATATATATATATATATATATATATATATTATACTGCCCTTCATTCCAAATGAAGTAAGTGCAGCTATAAAACGCTGTTTAAGAAGGGCCAGTCTAGAGAATTCGGTAACGATAATTGAAATGCCACCGAGTAATCTAAGGCGCCAGCTAGTTCGTAACCGCCTATACGACCGTCTATGTGCAACGCAAAATTGCATAATTTGCCCCCGTGGTAGAGACGGTGACTGTACGAGTTCGGATACAGACTATCTGATCTCTTGTAAAGTGTGCGAGGACGAATACGTTGGCGAAATGGGAGACCACTCTGCGTACGTATAAAAGAACACCTAGTCGGCAAACGTAAGCTAAGTACTCCACTAGGTACGCATAGCACGCAGAAACATAACGGAGAAGATTTTGAAGTAAGGGTTACGATCCTCGCGCAAGAATCGAGAACACAAGCGCCCAAACCTTGGAGGAATTGCGGATTAATTCCAAAAATCCAAAAATGAACCGCAGGGAGGAATGGCCTCATTATCACGCGTGATATTGGACAGTATATAAGCCTGTTATTTTAATGAGATTGGTACAATACGATTCCGTGTGAACTCTGTGTAGTTGGTCCCCACGTAACATATTTAGCGGAAGACTTATAGAAAGCGGTGAGTGTGCAAAGACACCGTGTTCAATGTGATTGAAATTTTGGTTCAGCATTTCCTCTGTTTGGTTATGGAGATGTTTGGCCGTGTAAATTGTACTCAACTTGACCTTTCCTGGCTCTGAGGCCGCCGAAACGCCACCTTGTACGTAAATAAAGAAATAAAATGACATCCGTTATATTTAGAAATTAAGAGCGCGTGTGGAGCAGTGGTCGGAGGCGCCCTGCAACACACACATGGATTCGGTCCTCATGCCCGTAGCCCACCAAGCCTTCCATCCCTCCGGAGTCAGCAAATTGGTACCAGATTTGTCTGGGAGAATAGGAGCACTGGCTCGGTACATCGGTAGGCCACCAAGAGTCATCGTAAAGGCCAGATATGCATTCAGTCACCTCCAACGATGCTTAATGAAGTCAAATGCATGGCGCATCGCTCAGAGATTGATCAACGTCGAGAGCTTCATCCTTTATCCTTAACGAAACAGAAACAGCAGCATTAGCTGAGGCTACAAATGTTAAGAAGAGCGTCCACAATTTTGCCGAGATTTCGTCAACTACAACACCGATATGACTTCATTCCGGCTTTCAGGAGGACCAATTACAGGATTCGCAATGCAAAATGGAGAATGTCATCCATGGGTCTTACTTCTTAACTCCTTCACTGTTGGACAGTCACTTCCACCTGCTTAAATACCGGATGCAAATCTAGCATGCCATCACGTCAGTGAAGAACCGTGCAGGACGTGACAAAAACAGGTATCCAAACTATTAAGAACCGGTGCCCGTCAACGCCATATTGATCTCAAACCCTATACATTGCACTGGATTCCTTTTTTACATTTCACATCGCACAGAAAAATTGCTGAGAATAATCGGTCGATTCGAGGCTCCGATGAAGGTAAAGAGAGGAAACTTGAGACGAATAGTGTTTTATATCAACCTCGTGTTGGCTTATTGGTGGAAAAAGATTATTCTAATTAAAACCAATATGAGCATGTTTTTTTGAATAGAAAGGGAAATCTAAACGAATTCAATAACTAACGCCCAATCTTCTTTCTGGCTATCGTCCACAATCTCCTCACTCGAAACATCCTCGACGAATGGACGAAGGACATCTATGGAAGCAAACCGAGTTTCAAAAACATTCATTCAAGCAAATTTCAAAAACCATGTCCCCATGATTCATTCGAGTATTTTGACAGTACAAGGAGTTGTTTGGTTTCTTTCACAGACTAAAAAAAGCTTTTGGCTCAGTTGATATGGATGCGGTCGTAGAACCTTCTGATAGCCAGCGCGATCCAACTCAGATAAAGGTTGGCGTTATCATAAACACTAACGAGAATTTTAACTTATTCTTTACTGCCTACTCTTTTTAACGGCAGAGTATATATTGCGAAATATAACTTCAATGATGATGAGATATTTGCAAAACTCCGGACCGCAGGTGTATGCGATAGGGAACGAACGCGCTATTGTCCTTTCCGAGGAGTAGCGCGTTCACCACCACACCATGCAGGCCTTTCGTTTCGCCTGTCTCTCAGCTAATTATAACTGCGACCTCAGCTTAACTGGGTTCGTTGCCGATTTGGGCTCCTCATATCAATCCCACTGAGGGGTGACTTCTGTGGCAAATATCGATAGAACTAGCTGAGAAACAGGCGAAACAAAGGACCCGCATGGTGCTGTGGTGAACGCGCTACTCCCCGGAAAGGACAATGACGCATTCGTTCCCCACCGTAAACACCTGCGGTCCGGAGTTTTGCAAATATCTCAGCATCATTGAAGTTATATTTCGCAAACTAACGAGAATGATAGAATCTATGTAAAAGCACCGCACAATGGGAGAGGTATAAGGAATTACGACCTGAGTAGACAATCTAAAATTTATAGATGATTCATGAAGTGTTAAGATGTCAGTACTAATGTATGTCGGACACATAATGCTTATGAACGACAACTAGTGGAAAACAGCTATTAGCAACTGCGTTTCACAGAACGTCAAACACGAAACAGACTACCAATCCAACGATCATTCCTTCATGAAGATCCTAGAAAATATGGGATTCGCTTCAAATTCCTCACGCTATTGCAATCCATGGGGCTACTGTTGCACTCACTAGGTACACATGGAAGTCAACCAGATAAGTGAAACTTACAATGTAGTAAACAAGTAGAATTAGCTCTATTAACACTCTCGCCACGAGTAACCTCCATAGGTGTCATAATGATGGTACGGTAATAACCTGCGTGATACCTATAGATTCCACTTTCTTTCCGGTGCTTTATCTTAACACAAAGAACTGTTTTCCTGAGTCTCATGTAATGAATCGCTACGTTATCCAATGCAGATGTTTGTGATAGACATTGTCCATGAGAGAGTGCCTTCTTTACACATAACGCCCCATATGCCACTATGGTGTTCACAGCGATCTCGACCAAACGACCGTATAGCCACCAGAGTCCACATTCAGTTTGGTGTGTTCCAGAGAATTTTTACCGTACTATATAAATTTATTCAATAGTGAATAGAAAGGAAATCGAAACGGGATGGAACGACCAGAACAACCGTTCTCTACACTTAATGGTTTACAAATGAGGTTTTTTCCTAAGTGGGCCTGTAGTATGGCCAACAATTAACTGCTATTTTATTTCGATCACTATGGTCATTGTATAGAATATTCGCATACAAATCTCGTATTCGATTGGACCGTTAACGTAAAAGGACGGCTGGGACGTTGGTTGTGAACAAGAACATCGTTAGTAAGTAAACAACTCTCGACTGATCAAAAGGTTAAGAACGAGTGATAATGGATAATTTTCCCTCCATATTCACAGTAGGTTATTGAAATCCTAACTCTCTCCAGATGGGTGACACCTGTAAGTGTCATAATGAAGTTCTAGGACCCGTCGGCATGACACCTATAGGTGTTACTTCCTTTCCGCTGATTTATACTTGTGCAAAGAATTTTTTAACACCTCGCTCAATCAATCGATGGCTTATTCAACGTAGTTGCTATAGCAGACGTCGTCCAGGCGAGGATATCTTCTTAATAATTTCTCATTTTTCGGAGAGAGATTATTACAGTTGAAGAAAGTGTGCAGAACAACGAATGTGGTCAGTAAAGACGCACAGAAATTCTTCTGCCTCGCAGAACTGGCAACACATGCAACAAAAGCATCGTTTTTGATAAACAACTCGACGTCGTCCAATTTTCAGTAGCTATTGATGACTTATGGGTACTGCATGGAATGAGACGATATCAAAACCACAAGAGGAACATTATAAAATTCTTCGCAAAACTAATTTTTTCCAATTCTTCTATTTTTATACGAACCGTTTTCACGTCCAGCTTGCAGGCCCCAGTACTTCTCACATTCGATTAGTTTTCTCGCATCCATCATCCCCACGAAGGCCTTCTAACTTTTACCTGCGGTTTCAACTGCAGTTTCAGGATTTCCATTCCATCTTGAATGTCATAGAATGCTGGTCGAGTCGATTCTCACTGGGGTTCTGAAATAGCCGCACCAGAGCGTTCGCAATTGAGTTGCAGAAAGTGATTTCCTCCCTGACAACTCCGGCACCAACTTGTCGGCCCCGAAGGGATCAGAAGTTTGGTGAGCTTGGGACATGATCGAACCAACACCATGTTCGTGACGAGCGGCATCACTACCACTGTGCTATCCGCCATTAAACCTTGATAGCAGTATAATTTCATGGTGGACTTTCTTTTTATCATACACAAGGGTTGCGTATGCATCAAGAACATTGTAGAACATATAGAACAAGGAACATAAATGAGATAAGAGAAGCGCAAGAGTTCTTCCAAAGTGCAGAAGAAAATCGACTTGCAAAAGGGAAATCACAGCAAAAGGGGCGGAGCCAACAAAAAACATTCAGAATGACCGGCGTGACGTCCGCAGGTGACACACTGAGTACCGCGGAAAAATAAGGCGTCGTCCAACCATGCGAACCTCTACGCATCACCAGTCTGTTCCATTAACCTACCGATAACGTTCCTTAGGAAAATCATGCCTCAGAACGTATGAAATTCGAATTAAGGCACTAATGATTGGAAACCTAAGGATTTTGTATACCTGATATGCGGAAAACAGCAATTGCGGACGGCAATGCTCCCGAACTAAGTGCAAATATTGTAGTCATGCCTGAACATAATCGATAAACAAGTAAAAAACATCATAAAATCAACAATACCATGAAAATATTTCTAGGAACATGATGCGCAGAGTATACATAAAAGCCAATAATACAGACCCAGAATGGATGAGATTTATTCCGATGAGAACTCTGCAGATCTAGTCACTCTTTTAACTATTACACAGAACATGACAAAAAAATAGAACGAAATAATCGATATATCTGTATAAATGCTCTTACGAACTGCGAAGAACAAAATAAGCAATTCACAAGACTGAAGTCAATTTCCAAACAATATAAAGTCTATAGGAAAAACATACATAGAAGGATGCGGAAGCATACACTTAGCCACTTAGCACCCATTTATGGGATTACGAAACGTTCAAAGACAAACGGGTGTTTTAAAGAATTCTAAGAAGTAGAAGACAATACAAAGCGATGACACTGATCAGATGAAACCAGCAGTACCTCCCCCAGCTTCTATGAGAAATATTTCTTCACTGATCGATTAACAAAGACGAAAGATACTGTAGAGAATACCAACAAGTAAAGCGTTATATAAAGTGGTGGTATTGGTCAAAGAACACCAGAAGTGTTCTACAACATGGGTTAAAATCAATGGTTTTAGGGCTAAACTTACAAAGGTGGAAGGCAAGTCCACAGATTTCTCACAAGTCCACTGAGAATGTAGAAATTTCCTGTACACTATTTGCTAGAAATAACAACGGATGTCTTCCGTTCTTCGTAGATAAACTCATTCAACGATGACCAGGTTTAATAAGCGACGTTATATGCAATAAAGCTTCTTCAAGAGTACACCTTATCACAGAATTTCACCACTAGCAGCAATGTATTTGTACTTAAACTACCTTAAATAATCCACGAATCGAGAAAAGCTGGCCTCACTCAGCAAGTTACAAAGAACTGAAGTTCTCATAACAAGTTTGTACAGATCACGATGTCATTTTTTGATCAAAGCTCACTGCAAAAGGCTGTTTCATTTGTTCAACAACAATTTATCCCTCCGAATTTCGAGTACATCTATGCACTCCTTAATATTAGGTATTAAAAACTTCGGATCTGAAACATATTCCAACAACGGCGGTGGCAATGGCAACGATCCAAGTTGGTTCAATCCAGTTAACAACCGGATTCGAAGACGGCACAGATACTGTAATCGAGGAAGAAGTGCCAAACGTGACAGTGGATGACGTAGCTGTATTTCAGATGCTTCTGCTTCTGCACCACGCCGATGCATTAAAATATCCCTCTCATGACTATACGATATCTGTAATTCAACACTAAACGTAAATTGAACACAACTAGGAAAAAATGGACTAAAGAAACTTTAAAACGTACTTCAATAGCATGCTTCAACAAATCTACTACGCTCTCAGATCTTTCTAATGAGAGTGGGCCACCCAAATGTGCGAATTGGCCACTGATTTCTACACGTGAGTGAAACACTCGATCTTAAATGATAGCATAGACGAGACTTAACACGTTTCGAAATGATTGCAGTGAAATAACTCTCTTACTCTCTTTTTTATAGAAACTTAAGGAACAGTAAATAAAATGTGAATAATAGGCTTTACTTGTTTAGACACTTGGATGCCCCGCCTTCCTTGGTTGTGCGGACCGCGGCACAATTCCCATTTTTCGGAGTTCTCCCGATCTAGCCATTGTCGTTTCCTGGAATCTCGCGGTCACACTAGGTAAAATCTGTCTCGGGTCGTCACCACCACAGGTAGTCACCGACGTTATGGATCGGAGGAAGACTTGCCACCATGTGACTAGTTTGATGCCAGAACGATAGTGGATCCCGGTAACGGTTTACTCCTGCCTGCGCTTCCTGATGGAAACTCCGGACTCCTTCTCAGCTTGGGAAACCCTGCTGGGAAGGTGAATCCTTCGGCTGTACATGGCAGCCCAACACCTCGGAACATTTGCCAGCCACGATGAGGCAGTAAACCGTTGGGAGGAATAAAAAGCTTTAGATTTAGAAATAATGAACACTGAAAACTGAAGTCACATTCATCAATGAATTTTGCTAACCTCTATGTCTATAGCTGACAGTAAATAGATGGTTGTCACTGTGACTATCTCTTACAAGAAATGATCCGTTTTCACACAAGAGAAGGAGTTTCTCAGCCGTTCGCCACGATACGTCTCCCCAGTACCTTAGTGTAACTAATCATCTAAAATAAATTAAAGCAGAAACAGCCAAGTAGTAAACAATGTTCACCTTTTGAAGCTAGAAATACGTAACAGCACAACTGAAATTAATCAGAAATATCAGTAATTTAGGTCTGTTAGACTACTCTGAGTGACGGTGAATGAAGTTGAATTCTCCAAAGACCTAGTTTATAACCTACTTCAGAAACATTTGCGACAATGTTGAAGGAAAACTGAGCATTAGTTTTAAAACACATCAAAATACGACTTGAAAAATACCACCTCACCAAGGGCAAGCCTTCAACTCAGACAGCCTTTTTGCCCATGAGCGAGTCGGACATAACGCAGAAAATGTGGTGGAAACACTTTGCATCCGAATCCTCAATAAAAAAAAAGAGATTAAAAATATCAAGAGCGTTTACCAATACTAACGCCACAATGTGAGAAGACAGCAGTGTTTGGTCTACAGCCTGGAGTTATTTAATCAACAAAATGGAATCGTACCAAATGATCGCAGAAGAATCTGATTTCAAAGTTTATCGTGGTCGGAATAACTAAGCATTTACATACATATTATTTACAATGTTATTTCGTAATATTTTTGGTGAAAACATAGTAGAAGGTGCTATGCATCTAACACCAATTAATAGCAAACTAATAAATTAACAAATCTAACAAAATTGAGATCTAGAGACACTTTCGATGTGAAATCTGCTAGGACAGTACAACGCGGATGTATGAGAAACTGGAGACGTCGCATACACTTGGGCAATTGAACCAAAACGAATCTAATGTTCTACGCCACCAGCTATCGTCTCGGCCGGCCGTTCCGTGGGGTTCGATCGAGTTTTAAGCAATTTGTTGAGATCTGGTCGACTAGCTGTGCTCATTTTACCACAGTCTTCATCTTTGTCCTTATTAGACGAGAATGACGTGTAGAACTTGAGTCGTTCACGCATTCGCGGTGGAAATCTAAGGATAAAAAACTTGCTTATAAAAAAATGAAGCTACACAGAATTTCCTCTGTAAACGGATAATAGTTAGCGAAAAAACTTTGAACATAGCCATACTTAACAGCAAAGAATATGGCCCCACTATTTTTCTTATTTACGGCAGCCTTGAGTGAAATAGAATTCGCAAGGAATTTACTCACCCAATTTAAAGCCCAGCCTAATAAGAAGAAAGCCATAAAGCTTAGGTAAAGCAGTTAAATGACAAGTACTTGTCGAACTTGAGAGAAAATCTGTTGAGCTCGACGTTGTAAGTTCTGCCATACAGTCTTATACTGCCCATCTTATCCCTCATATAAAATTCTGTCACCTCGCATGGACCATTCTTTCTTTTCAAACTCCACGTCAAAGGTGATTAGTATGAGCAGCTGTCACTCAATAACCTAGTAGGTGCTTGAGAGATAACTGCTTGAGAGACGTTAACAGAATCTCCACTGTAGAGAACAATCCGATACCTAGAAAGACTGCCATGACGATAGGATTCTGCATAGAAAACCAACCACCAACTCTGTGTCCATAGTTTTGTAGGTTACGAAGAAGCGTTTGACATTACTGGAACGAATGTCATATTACCAATGGTCGTTGAGCAAGAAGTGATCACGTCCTATGTAAGAACTCTACCATATTACCACCGCATTACACAGTAATGGTAAACTCCTCTCGGACATTCGTTTTGTCGATAAGATGTAACCTATCTGAGCGACACGTATGAAGCTAAACGATGCCGAGCGATCTCAAAGGACTGGACAAATGGATATAATTGCAAATTATGAACAAAACTCACTTAAAATGTTCCTGAAAGACTCAAGATGCGTTGGAAAACAGATTCAGATGTATGGTTCAGTGGTTGTAGAAGTCCCATAATAAGCGTATCTAAGCGTTTCCGAGCCATGGAAAAAGACATGAAAAGAAGAAATACGTGGAAGAGGAGAGCAAAGTACAAGCACAAGGGACTCCACCATAAATTAAAGGGCCTCTACGACGAGTATCTAAACAGTGGGAGATCATGTTTGTTCCTCGAGTTAATCAGTTGTGTCGCAAGAGCAAACAAATCGGTTCAATGGAAATCGCAGACGTCGCCGTTCTCGAGAAAGACCATCACCATAAACGGCGATCTGATGCACAGAAACGATTGAAAAATATGTTAGACAAAAGAATACGGGAGCGATCCAGTGAAGTACCCAAGTAAGTATTAAAATATTCACTTAAATTCGTCGTATCAACGTAATAACATACTTACCGAGGAAAAGCTGCTTCCGCTTCCTTTCTAAGGAAATCACCAACAAACATATATTTAAAATAATAAAGCAGATCGCAGAGTTCATCCTGAAATTCCGAATAGAAAACTCTATACGATTACAATGTGTTTCAAACTAGGTATGCAACCTACCCCATGTAGAATATCACCATAACGTTCTGTGATATCGCCTATCTTCGTGTAAAGAATACTAACCACTTTGAGACTCTACAAAGAAAAGAAATATATGCAGAATATTAAAAAATTGTACGATAACCGGGATACCAGCAGGGATGACCTTATCTTCAAAGCTCAAGTCGTTTGGCACTACACTATCATTGTAATGACAATGACAATATAATTATTGGCAACTGACACCTCATTTGTTAATAATTATTTGTCTTCCTTAAAACGTGCGTGCGGCCACTACCGAACGTAACCAATAATCGAATTTTTGACGAAATTACCTCTTCGTGCTTCACTTTTTCTCTCCAGTCGTAGCATCGTTGTAAAAGTGGAACCACAAGTCTTAAAGCGTACCAGAGATCATTTTCGGTGTTTGCGCGACTACAAGCTTCACCGGCGAATGTTGAGATTAATTTAGACAAAGAGCTCTATAAACATTAGGAAAACAAAAATACCAAAAAGGAACCAAAGAAATGCTTAAGAAAATGACAGTATTGGCGACACACTAGGTTACTGTGATACCAGTACGCCTGGGCGACGACATTCACGATCAACGGTCTACTGGCCATTTGTAAGAGCTGACGTTCTTCAAACTCGTCGAAAACGATTTCTTCGAACGTCATGTCTTGAAAGTGAAGTTTAAAAACTGTACTCTCGGAAAAAAATTCCCACTTTATAAGATTTTATCGCAGCGTGAAATCAATGTACTGAACAACGAACCAGCTAACACTCCACTGTCAATTACAGCAAGGAACTCATTCTGTAGCATTCGACAGTATGCTTCTGGTAGAGCCGTCAAGAGCAGCGCTATTGCATTCAGCATTAAGTAAGGTCGACGTGGCTGTGCCCTCGAACTCACTAACAAATTGATCATCGCCGGAACGATGTGCTAAAACCAAAGAAGCTATGCTTTAATTTCTCTCCTCGAATTCGCATTTACACTTTTTGTTACTCTTAAGCATAAGGATAAAGGATAAAAGAACAAATCAATTAACCGGCGTTGACCGATCCCTGAAGAATGCGCCATGCATCCGACTTCATTAAGCCTCGGCAAAGGTGACTGAATGCATATCCGGCTTCTACGATGACTCACGGTGGCATACTTATGTATCGAGCCAGTGCTGCTATCGTCCCAGATAAATCTGGCACCAACCTGCTGACCAAAGAAGGATGGAAGGCTTGGTGAGCCTGTGGCACGGGAATCGATCCCATGTGTATTGCAGGGCGTCTCCGATATATGCGCCACACGTGCCATATTTCTAAGCGCAGAGAAAAAAATAAATGCCCTGAACAAGAAAGAAGGAAACAAGAATTTGTAAAAGTAAGTTCTCCGTTAAGAAACTAGCAACGATTTTTGTTCAAAACTTCCGAAAAAATGACCAAAATTTCGAAGTTGCAACTAGCTGGGGAAGGATTAATGAACAAGCAAGGTATGTTCTTAAACTACTGCCCAAAAAAAAATCTTGCCTGAACTTATCTTTACAATGAAATATATCAACCTCTGGTGAATGAGGACTTGCCAACAGCTCGATGCAAGCCAAATACAGCGCTTGTGCAGCCGGAGGATATTCAGCAAATCTCCAGTCCGAAGCGACATATGGCGGTGGTCTAAAGTCATATACTTATATTGCCATGTGGACCTAGACTCTTCCATAGTTATCACCTATAAAGTCACAGAAACCTAATGATTGAGTCCAACAACGCTGTAGAAAAAAGCTTGCATAGGTGACCAAACAGACGAAGAATAACATATATTCATAGATTAGATATTTAAACTTACGTGAGGATAAATTCGCTACAAGTAATGATCCTATCGGCTAGCTCATAAACCAAATCCTCAAAAGAATACACTCTTTGGTGATTATCGTTAATGAACGACTGAGTCAAGGAGCTCTGATCACCTGGAGAGATTGCAAAAATCTAATCCAGTAGCTGCGAAAGAACAAAAACCGTACGAAAGGCATCACCTTGACACAAAATTGCCAGAACAAATTGTCGAGCCCTTGGATGGTGTCCTAACTGCTCATGCATACAAAACAAAATCGTGTAAAGAAAGGTGATAGGGTATGCTGAAAAGAAAATGAGATAAGAATACCAATACGGACAGAAAACAACTATACTTTACAAGGAAGTATAGAATGCAACTGACGATGGAATTTGTATATAGGTCCGCATGTGGTTAGTATCGTGGAGAAAATGTTATCCACCTGGAGCTCAAGTGCTCTCGTTAATGTGAAGTCCAGAATCTTGAAAAAAAAAAAGGAATGAAGTGATACAAATGAAAAAGTGACAAAATGCAAATGGCTGCAAAAAAGCCTTCAGAAAAAGATCGAATTGTAAAACTGATTTGACCGGTAGTAACCGCTCGATGAGACTTCCATAGTAAATTGGATAGTGAGCACGAGGAGTGATCATCTCAGCCATCATCGGAGGTCGAATCGCCATTTCAGCAAAAGTCATCTCCGGAAATTTCTAAAGAGGACAAAACATGTCACTTCTTTTGTGACACAACTACCAAAAAAGCTGCTTGTTTATAGTACACTCACAGTACTTACTTGGATATATGGATCGTCCGTCATCACTAGCTGCGCTGCTCCCCGCATAATTTTCATTCTGTCAGAGTTCTGCTGGTTTAGCCATTGTGGTTCCCTGGAGTTCCACAGCTCAGCCTAGCCAAACTCAGCCCCAGGTCGTCGCCACAACAGACAGTCAATGCCTTTGTGGATCAGAGGAAGATTTGCCACCATCGACTACTTCGATACCAAGACGACGGTGGGTCTTAGTACTAGTTTACTTTTAGCTAGGCTTCATGATAAAAACGCCCGACTTTTTCTCAGCTTGGTAGACCCTGCTGGAGCGACGGATCTCGCCGCTGCACACCGCAGCCCGACACCCGGGAATACCTTTCGGCCACGACAAGGAGGTAAACCGTTGAGAGTCACTACACAGTAATTTCGCACAAAAACGATTATGTTAATGTCGCTTAGTTCTCTGCCCTTTTGATAATAATGTCATCTCCTTTAAAATCGCTACAATCAGTGTAGATGACTTACACGGTGATACTCTGCCAGACGCCGAAAATGTTCCGGAGCATCTACATCTCGCTTAGGGATAAAACGACAATAAAAGTCAATTCTTTCGTTGATTTCTGTGCAATTCAAAAGGGCCTAAAGTGGTACAATAGAAATATGAAGAAACCAAAGAAAGAAATGAATCCAAGAAATAAATAAATAAATAAATGTGCAGAAAATCTATAAAGGAAAAACCAACGCGGATCTTAGTAACGCATTTGACTCTTAGTAGAAAAAAGAGTGGAGATTAGTAACTATCTGGGGAGATGTGAGAAAATACGATTTAAAAAAGAATCCACCTAAAACCGACCTGTACGATTACCATAGCAATCTGACTTGCATGATCAGTTGCTGGGTGAAGAACCAAGGACAATAGAAGGCGATCAAAGGTCATAACATGGCGATGAAAAACCATCATATTCAACACGCGAATCATCTGCAAAGTAACGTCGTGGGAATAAAGAATCCCTTAGGACTTCTTAGAAAGACGAAATCCGATAGAAAAAATTGGTTCCAAAAAATAAGCAAGAGAGACAATGAACCTGTTTAAACCCGATGAAGGATAAAATTACATGAATAAAGTTTGTTTCCGAATTCAGAAACCAGTAATTCCCTTTTGAAAAACCTGAAAATTATCCCTTGGTTTAAAGAATACATATCTCACCATTGGCAAAAACTCCTCCAAATTCTTCTCAGCACTACACTGCGAGATAATATAATCCGTCAACGCATTCACTGCCAAAACATGTTCTCGGCATGTCTGACGATCAAGTATTCTTAAAAAATACATCAAAAAATCTAAAAATCTTGGTGTTGATCAATCCCTGAGGAATGCGCGCATTCGACTTCATTAAGCATCGTTGCAGGTAACTGCATGCATTTCTGGATTTTACAATAACTCGAAGTGGCCTACAGAAATAACGAGCCTGTGCTGCTATCCTCCCAGACAACTCTGGCACCAATTCGCCGATCAAGGAAGAATGGAGGGCTTGGTGGGCCTGGAGCGCGGGGATCCATCAGGTGAGTACTGCAGCGCGCTTTCAACTACAGCGCTTCACGCGCCTAGTAAATTGGCATACCAAACCAAATTTAAATATCTGCCTCTTGCAGCTTTAAAACTCACTGGTAAATAAATGGGGATAAAATTTGGTGCTCAGGTGGACTTTCGATGAGATAACGAAAGATCACACAAAGAATTGTCGGCTGTCGAGATGGCATTAACATGTATTCCATCCATGACATCTCCGGTTGACCTCGCATTTGCATGAAGTCCGTATGGACTTCTCTCTAAAGATGGAATCAGCATAGTAGCTGAAGGAACTCCAAACTTTGCTGACATGATGCAGCACATGTTATTAACAATTCTAAAGAAAAAAACCTAATAAAACCCTGCCTGGAACGCCTCGGCTTTAGCTGTATCCTCTTCGATGATAATAGCAGTACGCTGAGCAGCCAAGGGTAGAGAAGAAAGCTGTAATTAGGACTCCGATGAAGGCCGCATGAAATGAATAACATAGATTACAGTAGAGAAAATGAACCTGGCTTGGAGCCCAAGTGTAAACCTGGTTTATCCTTGTCAACTCCGAGTCACTCTCAATACCTAAAAACTATTTAGCAATAAAACTTCATTGCGATACAGCATCGATCCAGCGCCTTTTTCAGGTTCAAGACCTGTTGGTCGATCTACAGAACCAATACACTCATTTTCTACCCGAAATATAACAACAAGATGATCTAAACAATACGGAGAAACACACCCATTATTTTCATGGCTCTCATCATTGTAATGAGCAACATACGAACCACCTGTAACAATAAATTACTTGAAGACAGAACAAAAACGGTGGCTACATGATTGAGTACCTCGGGGCAGACCACCAATCTTCCAGTTCTCGAGTTGTCCATTGGATTGTAGACTAACCACGAGTTTAAATTTAACAATGTGTTACCAAAGGCATTATCTAAAAAGTAAAAAAAACTGCAAAGAATTGAATTAGTCGAACTTCAGCAGCAAAAGAAAGTAAAAACCTTAAGCAAATGTAACTGAAGCATTCATACCTACAAATAAATGCGCTAGACTTATAGTGTCGGGTAACAAATTCCACGCCCATTGGCGCATAAGCGTATGTTCCATGGCAGAGTAAAGACCATAGTTTGAAGCAACTTGCTAAACACGAAATAATGGAGAGTATCAAAACGGAACCTGGTACTTGGCAACTTGGAGGGCCAATCTTCACTAGTTTTGTGGGCACCAGCATGATCACAATTTCTCGGAGATTTGCTGGTCTAATCATTGTGGTCGTCTGGAAACCCGAGTTCAGCCACGCAGCTAAAGGCTGCCCCAGGTTGTCACTACCACAGGCAGTCGCAACCCTTGTGCATAAGGAGATTTGCCACCATTTGGACTACTTCGATACGAGGACGGTGGTGGATCCTGGTATTGATTTACTCTCAGCTGGGCTTCCTGATGCAAACGCCGGACTCCTTTTCAGTTTGGGAGGTCCTGATGGGGGTTGAATCTTCCCACTGTACAACGCAGCTTAACATTCAAGAACACCTCCCACCAACGACAACGCGGTAAAACATGGGTAGGATCAACATGATACACTTTGAAAAACAAAAACAAAAGGCCCTTTTTTCTGATAAAAGGGCACTGCTTACCCTATAATAACCAGAAAAGCCACAAAATTGCTAAGTAGTGGCGAAATCTACCTGTTGTGCCATAGCACTATGTATGGTCATGCATAATCGAAGTCCAGCAGGCGATGGATCATGGGAATGCGACATTGATGTTCGGAAATTCATTGGAATCGACGGAAGTCTTCAAAAAAGAAAAACATAATCGTGTTTTTTAAACAATATGGTTAGACACTGCGCATCAAGCCTCATTTCAGTCAATATAAACTTCTAGAAAACTCCTGAAAAAGGTTACACCTGTAACACAGAATATCGAGAAGAATATGGCACTGGTCCTTCAAATTAAGGCCATCTGCAGGACCCGGTGAAAGAGCTGCCGTAATCGATCTGTTGAGAATAGCGATAAAATTGGTTAAGCCATAGTCGAATTCGATTGACGTTAAAATTCGTGCACATGTCTCTGAAGTAACGTTATTGCGCTTGTGATGTGAAAAGGACCAAAACGATCGATATCATCACAGGAACTATTTATGAGTTAGGTTTCAAATTTGCGATTATACAAATTGTTAACACCATATTCCATTAAATTCACTATTGTTCAATGTTACTGCTGGCACTCTGAAGTATGTAGGCAACATGAACTAACCCACACACGCCGGACTAGGAAGGCGATCAACCTTGTGCAGCGATACAAAACATGTCGACAGCAGAAGATTGATTTTCGCTCGCAAAGTCAAAGAGTCGAGGAACTGAGAGAAACATCAAGATGGATGGGGCTATTGGAACAAACCTGTTTAATTCCATGGCTTTCATGCCTAATAAAATGACGATAGAATTTCACAGGTAATCACCATAACAATGGCTAATAATATAGACAGATTTTTTGAGACCGACTTAACTCCTCACAAGTGCATAACAGCAAATTATATGTACCAAAACCCACCTGCATATCAAACGCCTCGAGCTTATTGTTTGCTGTCCTTCCGTAGGGTAAAATATGAGGTTCTTCCGTCGGTTGCCCATCTAAGCGTTGTTGGAAGATAGCGTGCACTGTGCGAGACACAGGAGACTCGTGACGAACTGAAACGCTTCTTCATTAAACCACTTGAAAACTGGACATTAGAAATTAAAGATGAGTTAAAACCCAACCCCCGGAAATATACGCTTCAGATCTGTTTATCTGATCAGAAATTCAAACTAACACGCATTATCCAGCACAGCCTGCATGGCCTCATCAGGTGGTCCCGTATTAGACCGAACAAATTCTATCTGGTTAGCTAGGCACCCACTTGGTGGTGGAAGACCTTCCTGAAGCACAACTTTAATTCAGACAGGTTTATTCAGGTGACAGGTGACGGTATGGAACGTTAAAAAGTCTATTTACTAAAAACTCGCAATAATAAAGGGATAAAGGACAAAGCTCTCAGAACTGATCTATGCTTGAGAAATACCCAAAGCATTCGACTTCATTAAGCATGGTTAAATGTGATTGAGTGCATATCTGGCCTTTAAAATGGCTCACAGCGGCCTAGCGATGTATCGAGCCAGTGGAGCTATTCTCTCAGACAAACCTGGTACCAATTTGCCAACACCGGAGTGATGGAGGGCATGGTGAGCCTAGGGCACGAGGATCGATCCGATGCATATTACAGGGCGCCTCCGACTACTGCGCTAGCTACACACGTCCCTTCGCAGTGATAACGAAAATGATGTCTATTAAATAGGCAAATAAACACAAAAGTTTACGGTCTACATACTAATAAACACAAATAACGTTTAAAACCCACAGAACCATCAAGTATATTCCACATACAAGCAGCTGCCAGAAACCTAACTAGTTGTGACGGATGGTCGGAGGCACCAGTCCATATCACATCGTCACTGAAGAGCAACTAAAAAGTGGAGATCCATATAATGCAAAGTCAATGGGCTAAAGGCATGCTTAAAATGTTTTACAGCCGGAACATTGCGGTAGAATTGACACCTATAAAGGCAAACACAAAGAAGACTAACATTATAAAGTTTGCCCATTTCTTCTATTTGTTCCTTTTGTAAGTGCTGTTGGAATGTCCCAGCGATCTGCAGCATTATCCACATAACTTCATCACGCGCTCTTCGATACCCAGTTTTCACTAGCACATTTGACAGAAGGCCCAATAAGCGACTCAGGTTTCTATAGATATGAGGTTAAAGGACAGATCAGACAAAGACTAAAAACTTACAATGTTAACTTTTTGTTTCCTGCCTATTACAGTTTTTCACGGCAGAGTATTATGTGTGATACAACCACAATGGTTATGAGATATTTGCAAAACTCCGGGACGCCGGTGTCCGCGGTGAGGAGCGAACACGCTATTACTCTTTCCAGGAGTTAACGCTTTCACCACCACAACACGCGTTTCCTTCGTTTCGCCTTTCTCTCGGCTAGTTTTCTATCTACCAGTGCCGCCAGCAATCACTAAAAACTTAGTTAATCAAGAAAGCTCAAGCGCTTACACGTGTTTCTGGGTAATACCATACATAATGATGCTCATAAGATTTTCCCACTGATAACGTGGAATCTCCACGTCATCTGGTAACTTCTGCACCTAAAATGGACTTATTGAAAAAGATGAACAAGAGTTCAACGTGTTGAAATAAGAAAGCATAGTTCATAGCAAAATAGGAACGCTTTAATAACCCACAGAAATATCCAATTAGCACAATTCGGCCGAAAAATAGGTTCTGTACCTTCGAAACTCCCAATTTTCAAAAGATTCACAGATTCAAACATCGCGCTTTCTTTCTTTCCCTCAAGTGTGCTCACCTCTGCCATTGTCTCACTTATGAGGACTGACAGAATTTCGTCCCATTGAGTTCTACCATGAGTAACTTGACGAAGAAGCCCCTGAAATGTGTATAACATCATAAAAATTCTCCCTCATCCTTGTTGAAAGCGATGAGTCTTTACCGACAACACCTCTTTTCCGCGCGGTTGTCTGATCACCATGTACAGCAGATATGTTTGCGGAGCTCGTAACTCAGCTTTATATGGAAGATAAGGAGCACGATGACTAAAAAATTAATACATTAATTTTCCTACACTCGAACAACAGGCTGAAAGTTAAACGCTCAAACTGGATATGTGCAAAGCTACACTCATTTTCATCACTTCTGAATGAAAACACAACATAAAAAACGCTGAAAACTCGTCATACCTTATCTGTGTAGTCAAGTGATCTATTCTACAGGATGCCGCAGAAGCCGCAAAAGACGGATGAGCAGGAAGAGGAAACAGGAAGCAACGTCCAATGACATAACTCAGCTCAGCAACAGCGCGGAAATACATTATCAACTCAGAAAGCCGATGAGCTAGACGCTAAATTTGGCCTGTCTTTATTATATTTATCATCTGCATCATCTGTAATCCCGTCAATTATCGAGTATCTCGAGTGGGCAGCAACAATGCCTCTATTCATTTCAGCTACGCATCAGAGCTACGCAGTGCGCTTTACAGGTAAGACAAACAAGTGCCTCACACTCTACATATGAGGTGTTTTAAGTCTTTAGCGAATTATATGGCTTGATAGACTCTGGCATGCTGCAGTTTTACCTTTATTTGCGCTAAAATACGAAAACATCGAACTCAAGATGGAGGATCCCACTACGGAATGGTCTATTTCCCAGCTAGCCACCCAGGAACATACTCTGACAATGATGAGGCGGTAAACCATTGCGGTATGGAGCGTTTTCACATACAAGGCATAAAAAACAAGTACTAGAGATATTTACGTCAAATAGTTTAAATATCGAAAATGCAAAGCTCACGGGAAACATGTAGGCACGCTTAAGGATTCCTCTGCTAAGCTCCGTTAGGGTGAAAATTGGTGGTATTACGTTGAGATCTGGGTCCAAAATCTTCAGAAGGATCTAAAAAAGTAAAGCTGATTGGATTTGGAATTTAAAAAGTGTAGTTACAACTTTACACTTAGACCTACACGCTCAGCAGGAAGTAACTGCCTTCGCTGCTCAGGTGATAACTGAGCTGGTATGCTATTAAACTGTTGGTAGATTAGGCACCTGAAAAAAGGCGTGAAGAGAACGACTAAAACAGGATCGTTCAAGAAAGTAAGATAGGAAGTTTCTGAAGTTAAACTTTCTCAAACAACAGTTAGTAGGTCGGGGGGTCTCTCCAGATAAACTACGATTTGACAGCTTACTTGAACAAACTTCTCACGCCCTTATAATCCATTAGTGGAATGTTCTCGTCAATAAAAGTCCATTTTTGAGGATCCATGATCGTTCTCAACGTGAAATCAGCAGTTAGTGCTAAACCCTCGACGCACATACTAAACGAAAAGGCATTTCGGAACAAGTAAATGTCATCTAGAAAGCAAAAAAACTTACTTAATTGATAAAACACCTGCGGAATGAGCGTAGTATAAGATTGCGTCGACTACTCTTTCATACTCCTGCCTCCACTGCAAGGACGCCTCATGAACTATGGTCACAAGTTCCATGAGAAGTACACCCTTTTCCTTCTGAAAAGCAAGAAACATGACATTTCGTTATAAAAAGTAATCTGGCATAGCTAACTCATTTATATTACTCCGTTATCCCATAGGTTAAATGGATGCCCGTAGCGCAGTGGTCCGAGGCGCCCTGCGATACACGCGGGATCGATCCCAGCGCCTTGGGCTCACCAAGCCCTCCATCCCCTGAGATCGACAAATTGGCACCAGACTTGTCTGATAGGATAGTAGCACTCTCAAGAAACATAGGTAGGGCACTGGGAGTTATTGTAAAGGCCAGATATGCATTCAGTCGCTTACAACGGCGCTTAATGAAGTCGAATGCATGGCGCATTCCTCAGGAAATGATCAACGCCGAGAGCTTTATCCATTATCCTTCATGTATTTAAAGACCAGCACATTTGGAATTTTAGGGATGAAAAAGGTGTTGACCCAATGCATTCAAAAAAGTAACATGTATCACAAGGAAATGTAAAGCCGCGAGCATCGGATTAGTTGATGATTTAGACAGGTCTGCAAACCACAAGACAATATGAACACATTTTGATAGCGCCCATGAAACTTGACTTATATCTGTGAAAAATAGTTTACCTTTAAAAAAAACTCCTTAAAAAGATAAAAACCGACATCCATCCAATCCTGGCATTGACTATCAATATGTTGTTTCACTGATAAGCCTGATAAGAAATCTTTACAAGACTTCGTTGTGGCTAAGGGTTTCCGTACTATAGCCTTCTTCGCGACAACAACCAAGTTGATTCAAGTGGAATGAATACCGCATCTGTGGAGTAGATTAGCAACAAATCAAGGTGTTAAGCATATATCACCCAATAGTGAATTTTGTTCTAACACTACCACGCCTAAGTCTGTTTGGGTTTCGAATATTATAGCACAATTTTTGCCACATTCGCCAGGAGCTGATAGAAACTCATGCCACTTAATTCTCTCCGACCCCAACAAATGATCCCCTCCCCTCTACTGCACTTCTAGCCCAACAGTTTGGTTTCCACATAGTTCATTCACAGCTTCAACGTGCGCAAGGCTCCACTCACGATCATAATGCATGCCGCATCTCCAAAAGTCTAAGTATCGCTGGATGCCAAGTGAAGGAAATTTTGGGCCACTTGTTAAACAAAGAAGGGAAATCGGTCAAAATGAAGTCAGTTCAACTGAACTTAAGATGATTAACTGTTCACTGACAATCGGTATACGATAGTCATTTGCCTGGACGACTGATGCAAACAAGAACTCATTTTCCTGGCAAATGTAGATTAATTTATGAAAACACTTCACAAGAAGGTCATTCACCAAGAACTGTGAATGGGACGATTGAAAGCCTAACAGAATTGGAAAGGCATGTTGTCATTTTGTGAACGACCAGATGGTATCGTATTCTGTGCATTTGATGACGAAGTTTTAAATGAATTTGTACTCCTTTACAGCTTATACAACTTTACTCCACCATAGTTTGGAGCGTTATAATGGGTTGTAATGGTGGTAAATTATCTATAAAGTACGTAAACTGTAAGGATTGCAGATTTCTACGAATGTAAATTGTAATTAAGTACCAATCACAGATTAGAGTTTGTAAAAACTACAGATTCTATGGAAAGTCCATTTGAGCACAACAATTATGACATCAGCAGAAAGTTAACCCTGTTTGGAAACAACGATGCTCTTCTCTCTTCTCTTCTGTAGAAAAGTGGCGCGGTATAAGGACTCCGACCATACAGCTACACCAAATTTACTTGGATGGCCTATCCTCACTGGTTGTGTAGGCCCCAGCATAATTTCTATTCTCGGCCGATTTGATGGTTTAGCGATTATGGTTCCTTGGAGCTCCGAGGTCAGCAAAGCTAAAGTCTATCCTAGATCGTCATCACCAAAGGCAGTCGCCGTCATCGTAGATCAGAGCGAGATTTGCCACCATGAGACTAGTTTGATACCAGTACGGTGGCGGATCCTGGTAATGGTTCACTCTTAGCTGGGCTTCCTGATGAAAACGCCAGAACTCTTCCCAGCTTGGGAGGCGATGAGACGGTAAGCCGATAAGAGGATGCTAAATTACGCCTTTACAAGTCTCATCAGCGATTTAAAACCTTATCGATGACCTCAAATGTCCAAGTTAAGTGGCAAAATATAGCCTTGACAACCTCTTTGCTTCCCCATCGGTAAAATCCTTGCGGTAAGTACTCTCTTTACGACCAACACCCATTCGCCACAAAACAAGCTCCTCCAGGAAACGCTTTTCGCAGATCATTAAAGCTGCGACATAGCTCTTGAGGTGCTACTCCTAGCACGATGGTCTGTGTTGTACAAATTGTCAAATATATCCAAAAAGTATAGCAAAAAGTTCTGTGCATCGAAATAAACGACTGCAAAGTGAATGAGTTGATACGAGCTGTATCAGCCCCAACATATAGATGGAAACGCATTCACGTTGGTTGGACTCTAGATGTCAACTTAAGTAAAAAAAAAATTATTGAACTCAACACATTCTGGTCAAAAAGGCAGAAATCCGCTTATTCCACCATGATAATATTCTCGCCTTTAAGGAGGCTGCAAACCATCTTTACGCTAATTATCTTGCGGAGCCAAGTATCTCAAACAAAGAAACTACTGAAAAGCAAAAATTCCCTCCAGGACAACATGAATTGGTTACAGGATTTGTTGTCAGTGTACTCGGTTAACACCAATGGATAAAAAATCGAGAATATTTCTATTATATTTAATATATTCAACATCCATTTGAGAAACATACGAGTACATCTAGTTCTGTGCAACGACCGCTTAGAGTTACGCTTAATTCTGGCTTTCGTGTACAAAGAAATATTCGTTTGAAAAAGGTTATTGTGAGTTGTCCTACAAACAGTTTACCGCCTCATCGCGACCGCCTGCGGTGGTGAAGGGCAGACTTTGGCTAAGGTGACCCCTGGACCCCAGGGAACCACAATAGCTAAACCAGCAAAACTCCGAAAAAAAATGGAAATTATGCTGGTGCCCGCACAACCAGTAAGGACGGGTCATCCTAGCATCAAAGTAAGTAGCATTGTAAATTGTACATAATAGTTTCTCATAGGTCAACTGTACCATATATATTAAACAACCCATTGCTTCAAGATGACAAATAAAGCAAAATAAAGTCTTTACGACGAAACAAACACTCGATTAAAAAATCGTATGCCACGTCCTCAGCGTTCAAATACAATAGTTGTTGAAAAACCAGCACAGTCAGGAACCAGTAATGTTAACTGCACTTTCGTCGAGAAGCTAACCTCATCCATTTTGCTAAGTAGAACCACTGCCTGAACACCAAGCATCTCATCGAAATCCTTGTTTGCCGTCTGCATCTGCCAGAATACCACTTCCAGAAAGTTCTCATGCTGAATGTGAAGGAAGATAGATCAGAAATAAACCGGCCTCGAGTCAAATTCAAGAAAAACAAAGCGCTATAGGAAGTTATACCACAAATTCGATGATGCATCGACGAAGTCGTTCGATGTCCAGTGGTCTTTCTGGTGCCGCATCGCTTTCTCTCGCCACCAGTGATTTATCCTTCTCCTCATGTACCTCAGTTGGTTGTACCACTGTACCCATGAATAAGGACACTACCTAATGAAACTACTTTGTAGTCCATCTTTGCATTAAGCACATTAAAATTACTCAACAATCCATTGATTCGAACAATTACCCTCGCGATCTTAAGGTGCTTTATTGTCAAAGCCGTTCTATAATCCGAAAATCAGTGTCTTGATCTACTTAAAAGGCGGAAACTCGTCCGATTAACAATAGTGGAAATCTAGTCCACAATCGGTAACTGGACGATTTTCAGAATCTCGACCCACATGCGATGACTATATCCGAGAAATCTTCGAATCTGACTTATCATGTTTCGTGAACAATTCGAGACCGTTTTCCCAAAATCGCGATAGATTAGACGCGATTCCAACATTCGTTTTTGTTAAACATTAGGAACCTGGAGCTCAAGTTTCAAGAAGGAGTCTAAAAATGATAGACATTGTTAAATCGATCGCCATCTGTATTAAACAGCTCGTATTTTGCAAAATAGTAAGCTTAAGGAGATTTTGGCGCTAAAATGGTTCAAAGTGGAAGCTACTCAAATGCGAAAAACACAAAGAGTTAGGGCACTGTGCAAAAGCTTTCATAATAAGCGTAAATGCTGGATTGACTTTAGTTTCATATTTTTCTTCTCAAAAAACAGCAAGTGCTTTAGAAGAATAGCTGACGGTGATCTTCAAAGCCTCCTAACACGTTCTGATACTAGTGACTGTAAACTTATTCAAAATATCCTAGCGAATACGATGATACTTTAAAACTCACTACATCATAAAATACACAGTTACTTTAGGAATTAGCACTTTTTAAATAATGAACGCTTTGAAAAACCAAGGAATTAATCAGTAATAGTCTTCGTACGTGAGTTTTCCTAGTTGTGACCACAGCGCAAAAATTCTGCGGACGAGTTTTCGCGCTACGCCGAATTGCGGGCGAACGTCGACGGGGTGATCTACAGTTAGAAGAGTTCGGTTTCCTAACGTACTTTTCCTCTTGTTCCTTCTACCAATCCATCCTACTTTGTCCCTGCTTAAATTGCTTTGTGAAGTGCTTTTTTTCCTATTTTGACTTGCTCGATGATATTTATACTTCTGCAGGCATGAGTTTACTAGATGATGATCTCCCAGCTGAGTTCTTACATAAAGAGGAGACCGAGGAAGCGGTACTAGTTGAAGTTCGTCAAGTAAAAATCGATTTCAGTTTCAAAATGGTTACCTGATGTAGTGTTTCTGAAGGGGTTCTGGTTATTTGTAGGATGTTATTAATGTGATGGATGATGAAAATGCTGTAATTTATGTTGATGAGAATGACTTAGTCATGCCTGAAGAAGTCTATGATGCCTGGCCTGGCGAAGCCGTTGATTTTCAAGAGGTCTCCGACAGCGAAGCAAAGGTGGGTAATTTTTTTCGTTCGCAAATTTTTTTCATCTGTTGTTTTGCTTTTGTGAAAGTGTGCTGAAATCTTTCAAAACCGACTTTCTTTTGACCTCGGTATGACTAATCAATATGTATCCTTTCTTCGTTGTGTTTACACGAGGTTGATAAATGGTCATTATTTTGAGCAAACGTTTCGACGTCTTCGTTTTCATCAGAACCGATGAGCCGAGTCACTGATGAAGACGAAGACGTCGAAACGTCAGCCGAAAATAAAAGTCGTATATCATGTTTGTGCTGAAATTCTTTTCAGATTGGTGTCCAATCTTTTATGGAAGGTGTGATCTGTGACGATGGCCAATTTGCGTTGGTTACTATTCACTTCAGTTTAAATAAAGTTCTTGCTGTTGAAATGGGTTTGTATTAGATTCACGCCGGACACCGTTGACATTATTGAAGACCAGGACCAGATATTCTTAGACGATGTACTTCCACTGAGTACTACAATGTGTACACCCTATAATCAGTGTTGGTTACTCATCTTTGTTATAATCGATTTCTAAAATTTCTATTGTTTATCCCAGAAAAATCCATGTGTATCTTAGTTGAAGGAATTGCCTACGGAGACGACGAGCTTCTACCGTTTGAAACTAACACTATGGTTGAGTTTGATGAGATTCCACAACTTGAGAATACTAACCGAAATCGTCGGTGGGTCTGAGTAGCCTCATTACTATAATCTTCTGGATTTTCTTTTTTAGAAAAGCAGCTACGATCGTAACGTGTGAAGTCTGTGGTGTTTTGCTAAAGCATCCGTCGAAAATTCGGGTGAATGGTTTTATTCATACATTTAAGGCTATACTGCTGTCTTAGCGTATTCTTTTTTAGGAATGAAATTCCTCCATATATTTAAAATTCTTAGGTTTTTTATCAACAAGTCTTGCTATGTAGGGAAAGGGCCCATGTGGCATAGTGGGTGGAGGCACCTTGCAATATACATGGGATCGATTCCCGGGTCCAGGAATCACCAAGCCTTCCATCCCTCCGGGGTCAGCAAATTGGTACCAAAGTTGTGTGGGAGTATAGCAGCACTGGCTCAATACATCGTTGGGCCACCGCGCGTCATTGTGAAGGCCAGATATGCATTCAATCACCTTCAAGCGATGATTGATGAAGTCGATTGTATGGTGCATCTCTTAGGGATTGATCAACGCCATGAGCTTTATCCTTTACCCTTTTTTAAAGTCTTGCCATTAGGCAGTATTTTCTTCACACCTTACACCAGCTCTTAGCATGTTTCTTGGTTACAGGCTCACATGCGAACCCATACTGGCGAGAAGCCGTTCGAGTGTGATTTATGTGGGATGAAATTCTCGCAACGTACTCCTATGCTCAACCACGTTCGTCGACATTTAGGACAAACGCCATACGACTGCGGTTTTGGTTGTGGGAAAAAATTCGTGAACAATGCACAGAAAAATGCGCATGAGCTAAGACATCTCGGTTCAGTGAGTTCACTTTACATTTCAAAGGCTTGGTTTGGAGAACTTTTGAAAATCTACACTAAATTCTACCCATGACGTTCGTTTTCCTCCATACAACTCACCCTATTGTTTACGACTTTAGAAAAGAGCTGGTCCGCCAAGGCCACACCTGAAGCCGCCTAAACGCTCGCTGTGGAATAAAAGTTTTGCAAAAACTGATCATCGAATGCGACTGTGTGACGAGGAACACCCTCCGATTGTGGATTTTGCACCGCCTATTGGACACATTGATCCTCCTATCTCCGCAGCGGCGAGCAAGAGGTGAGCATACTGTAGTTCAACGTCATAGAATTCGTTTATTTATTAATGCTAATTAGTCGTTATAGTGGCGTGTGTAGCACAGTAGTCGGCGGCATTCTGCAATGCACATGGGATCGATCCCCGCTCCTCAGGCTCACCAAGCCTTCCATCCTCTCTTGGTCGGCAAATTGGTGCCAGGCTTGTCTGGGAGGATAGCAGCACTGGTTCGATACAAAGCCAGAAATGCATGCAGTCGCCGGCAACGATGCTTAATGAAGTCGAATGCACGACGCATCCCTCGGATTGATCAAACCAGGAAGCTTCATCCTTTATTATTATTTAATTGGTCGTTAACTGAAGTGAGGTCCATTCATATATGGAAATCGCTAGTGTTCCATACGCATAGCCAGGTTTTTGGGAAAGTTTGTTTAAATTTCATAGAAATGGATACTTGATACTAGTTTATAAAACTTGGAATTCGTTATTCAGTGTTTCTTTTCCGGTTGGACGAAATTATTGACTCGGTGGTATCCGGTATTCCGATCAAGAAACGCCGTACACGTCCATATCGCGCACCGATGCTTGTTCAATGCCAAATATGTGGCCTAATGCTCAAACACGCTAGCAAGATTCGTGTAAGTTCACCATTAGTAGACTGGTTTTTAAAAAATTTATTAATATTTCGCTTTCTGCTACTTAATTTTCGTTTGTATAAATATCCTTTTTCGTTCAATGTGTGTGTTTCCTGAACTTGACTGCGCCATATGTGAGTGTTTCTCAGGCTCATATACGAACGCACACAGGTGATAAGCCCTATATTTGTGTATACTGTGATGAGCACTTTGGTACCTCAGGAACTTTAAGTATGCATATCAAGCGGAAACATACCTTTGGTGGGTCTTCTGTCCTTAAGGATTAGCTCAATGCCACAAGAGTTATGTACATATTTCGTTACAGTTATAAATAAGGCAATACGTTTTTTTTTCAGGTGAAAGGCCATATGCTTGTACATGGGATTGTGGAAAGCGATTCGTAAGTCTCTCTACTCGGAATGAGCACGAACGAGTTGTTCATGCTGGCACAAAGAGATATGAATGTTCAGTAGCAGGTGGGAACGAGATCGCTGTTTATGGTTCTTTCCATAAAGATAATCGATTAAATTTTTGAACCATTTATTTGCCCTTACTGAGACTTTAAATATTCTGGAATACTAGTAGAAAATTTGGTGGAGGACAGTCGATTCAACCTCTTTCCAACGTTATTAAAGCCTTATTTAGGTTGTTTTCGCATGTTTAGTCGTAGATATTATTTAATGCTCCATCGGCAGCGAGAACACGGGCTTTCTTTCAAGCCGATCTTCAATCCGGAGGTAGTTTCCGTTTGATTGTGTTTTTCTTTTAAAAGTCTTCTTCGTTTCTGTTTTTGGTTAAGTTATTAATGGCGTACTGCATCGTATGATAACGCATTTTTCCTGTTTTTCTAGTTATATTTAGTACTTTTAAGGAAATCGCCAAAGCCGAGAAGGAAGCCGACAGTGAACTTGCTGAGCCAAATCAAGTGAAAGCATCTTGTGACTATAACACATCTAGTAGCCAGGTATTGTGTGCTTCGCATATGTATTCGTCACGTTTAGTGCTTTCAAGAATTAAAGAGTTCATTGCTAGGTTCTCGTCGATCCGTCTACTAATATGCTTGTTCATGTCTCGGAAAATGGAATGGTGCTACAACAGGATATTGACCAGCATGCTTTCATGCAAGGGGAATTTGTTGAAGAAAATGAAGACGGGTCTTTAGTCGAGGTTTCTTATTGATTTTTAGAATGCTTCAGTACTCTTGAATTATGTTTTTCAACCTTCATATTGCCGTAGACAGTATCGTTATAACACACTAATTTACTCGAAAAAAACAATGTTTGTTATTTGCAGGTAGTTGATAGTAGTATACGGAATTCGCATTCGGTGGACTCTGCGGAGTCCTTAAGCAGCCAATCAGTACGATTCATTCTCTCTGACGGTCCGTTAGATCAAAGTCAATCCAGTGGTTTATGTGTTCCTCGTCTTGAAAATGGTCTCACTGACCAGCGAAATGAGCAACTGCCCATACCTATGGAGGAAAAGGACATCGAAAATCTTGGAAATGCGGTGAGTTTTCAAGATGACTTCTTAAGTAGTAAAATATATTTTAAACTTAGTCTAGTTCTTCAAGGTGGCCGTGCGAAATGAACGTCATGTGTACCCTAGAACTCGTATGGTAAACATACTAAAGAAGAAGCTGTCTGTTCGGCCTTCAGTATTTCATCGTAGGCTCTGATGATTCCACTGATTGTTCTGAAATCCTTCGATATAATTGCTGCATGCTGTCATTATTCGTTTTATTTTCGTTATATATAGAACTCTTGGTAACTTTACGGGTTAGATGAGTAGAAGACTATTCAGTACTTTAGTACTGCAAGTCTTTGTGCTCTTTTTTTGTAGAAAAACGTCAGCGTACAACATATATTTGTTGTAATATTCTTTTTCCAAGTAAGTGATAACTGCGGATTCTACAATTTTCTACAGTTTTTCGCACATTGTTGCTATAGCTCCGCCCAAATACTTGTTAGACTTTGCAGTTTTTTATTCACAGAAGTGATCTAGGTATAGATAGACTAGGTGTTAGAGAAATTGTGAATCGTTTGCTACTTTCTATGTTCATTAAGACACATTCGTTGTTAAAGCAGTATGTTATGAAGAATGAAACTTTCTACCATCACATTCATGTTGCAACCAGGTTTTTCCAAAACGTTATCTGATTACTTTTTGATTATGTATTTGTCTTCAGCGGAGTTCCTAGTTGGTGGTAATATTATTCCTATTATATTGTATATCATACTATACATGTTATGTATTATTATATAGAGGATAAAGCTATTGGCGTTGAACAATCCCTCAGGGATGTGCCATTCATTCGACTTCGTTAAGTATCGTTCGAGGTGAATGAATGCATAACTGGCCTTTACAATGACTCGCGGTGGCCCACCGATGTATCGAGCCAGTAATGCTGTCCTCCCAGACAAGTCTGATACCAATTTGCCGACCCCACAGAAATGGAAGGCTTGGTGGGCCATTGGGGTGTGGGTCGATTCCACGTGTGTGTCGCAGTGGCATCACATATTTTGTATTATTGTTTTAGTACTGTGTGTATCATTATATATATATATGTATATATTGTATATATTATGACTCTAGAAGATCTGAACTTTTTCTTTTACCTCCTGTCTACTACAGTTTTTCGCGACAGGATATTGTGTGAAATACAACCACAGTGATACTGAGAGATTTGCATAGCTCCCGACAGCAGGTGTTTGCGGTGGGGAGCGAACTGGCTATTACCCTTTCCTACGGCTAACGCGTTCACCACCACACCATGTGGGTCCTTATAATAGCACCGGTAGACTAGCTGATAGACAAATGAAACGAAGGATCTGCATGGTGTGGTGGTGAACGCGTTATCTCCCGGAAATGGTAACAACGTGTTCGTTCCCCACCGTAGGCATTTTTCATTCGGAGTTTTACAATTATCTCAATATGAGACCATGGGCTTAATAACGAGTTTCGAGTCTCATATGCTTTGTAAGGAAAGGCAAATTTTTTTTTGTTATGTCCAACAGTTTTTCGGGAACAGTTCTCGCTGTTGTGAGTTGATTCATGGTTTTTTTTAGTCCAGTTCCTTTTCTTCTTTATTAATTTCTTTTTTTTCAGGATGTTCGAAGAGGCTGCTACGGCAGTGGGAACATCTGGAATGAACTACATGAAGTATGACAGCCCTGTTCATACTACCGCTGAAGAGTTGGATGTTGGAGAGGTTAAATTTGTACCTTGAATTTTCAAAACCGTTGTTTGAAACCCTTTTTTTGATATCCAATTCCGTAAGTGGTTCGTCTCGTTTCTTGTTCAAGGCTAGATTTTATACAGTGCTTTTAGGAGGGGATTCTTGATTTTGAAGAGAGTCGAATGGGATCCTACGATTACAATATGCAGGACAAGGTATTTTTTTATGTTTTAGTTCATGATGTACAATACAGTTCTCGACATTCTATTGCAGGAGTCCAGTGAACATGTCTATGAACGCAGCTCCACACGAAAGTACCGAATGGTTCGACGTAAGCCAGCACAAACATTCTACTGTTCGCCTTGTAATAAGGAGATTAAGTACCCGTCAAAAATCGCCGAGCACTTGCGAAAGCACACCGGCGAAAGACCTTACCAATGCCAGATATGTGGCGCAGGCTTCTCACAAGGACATGTCTTAAAGGTTACTCCAATAATTCCCACGACTGATTTTCTATCAACCTCGGATTTGATTAAATCTTTATATTCTTGTTGAGTAAGCACAAGGTGTTATTTTATTCTTTATTCACTGACAAGGTGACGTGTTGGCGTATTCCGCCTTCTTCAGAACCTAGAAAGGTCAAGTTGACCATAATCTACCAAGCCAAACACTTCCATAACCAAACTTAATCCTCGACCTAGTAGATTGCGGTCAGCTTGAGTTTTCCAGATTCTGAGAAAAGCGAAATTAGCCTACACGTCAGCTTATTAGTGAATAAAATAGCACGCTGATATTATAAAAAGTTTGATTCACCTCTTCCTACCTCACACATATCAACGTCGCCCACTATTTCGTTTATATCCGACACTTTCAATTTTCTTTTCCATGGTTTAGAGCGTTAAGTGAAGTGATCGGAGCCGCTCCGCAATACACATGGGATCGTTCTCCGCACCCAAGACTCACCTAACCTTCCGGCCTTCCCGGGTCGGCAAATTGGTACCAGATTTGTCTGGGAGGATAGTAGCACCGGCTCGTTACATCGCTAGATTATTGCGAGTCATTGTAAAGGTCTGTTATGCACTCAGTCACCTCCAACGATGCTTAATGTAGTCGAATGCATGGCACATTCCTAAGAGATTGATCAACGTCGAGAGCTTTAGCCTTCACCCCTTTAATCACTTGCGCTGCAGAATGAGCCCCGACAGTCATTGTCAATGCAGAGCTTTCCGTCTGAGTATTTAACTCCGTTCGAACATTATAGGACAAAATCCCACATCATCTTGTCCCAATTTTTCTTTCCATCGGTTGTAAAATCTTTTTTATGAATGCTTACGAAATGTACCTTAGCGAAGAGGACCTTCTTCTTTATTGTTAACGTAGTTCAGGTCCATCTACGAGGTCATCATGGTGAACTGCCATATAAGTGCTCTTATTGTTCCAATTCGTTCTTTTCACTTACTTTGAAGAAACAACACGAAAAGGTTGCTTTTACTACAATTAACATACTTTGTACTAAACATTCACAAGATTTTTTTTTAATTAGGTATTTTTGTAGACGCACTACCAGCGAAACGGCAAAAGTAATTCTGGACTTGAAACAGTAGTGATCGAAGATACTGTGGAAAATGAAGCCATATGTGATGATGATGTAGAAGTTACTACTGTTGACACACATATCTACGCATGTCCTGTAGTAGAGTGTGGCATGCAAAGTCAGATCAAGGAGGAGGTAACCTTTCTTCATTCGTGCAGAGATTTTTATGCCAAAATTTCTCCACTCTCGTTGTTCTCGAAGATTTTATTTGACTGTGCTTTCCTCACTTTTGAATTTCCATGAAATTGAATTAGTTTCTTGAGGATCATTCCGTGTATGTCTTTTTAATCGTCGAAAATTTTCTAGAACAATGATGGATTAAGTTTCTACTAGTTTGTTCCTTGCAAAAGTTTTCAATCGCGTTCATATGGTTGACGCCCTGCAAAGTAGTAGATGTGCCGAGAGATGCTTTAAGTAGTGCTTTAAGAGAGTCGTAGTGCAAGAAAGTCCAAACAAAATTTGCTATATTTTCTGTATTAGGTTTTACTACAAACGTGATTTTCTGCCGTAACATTTCATCAACAGAAGCGTGTGTAAAGCAGTCGTTAGATGAGCCATGCAGTGAGAGTACAAAAGACCGCTCTGTCTCACTTTTATCGATTTAAAGATGGTCTTTGACGCAATTGAGACAGAAGCAGTCGTGGAAGCCCTTGATAGTCAAGGAGTCCCTACTCAGTGCATAAGGATTCTTCGTGAACTGTAAAAATTTCACAAGCAGGATATCACCATTCTAAAACGATATTAACACTGACGTCAAAAGAGGAGTTAGACAAGGCGATACCATCTCGCCAAAATTATTTACCACCACCCTCCAGAACGTAATGCGAACATTGGAATGGGATAATACGGGAGTGAAAATCGACGGTAGACAGTTACACCATTTTCGCTTTGCTGATGACATCGTCCTTATAACAAACACTGGCCAAGCGGAACGTATGCTTGATGATTTTGATAAAGCCTGTGGAAAGATTGGTCTTCGACTAAATCTCACGAAAACGATGTTCATGAGGAACGGGTTGGTTTCGCATGCCCCATTCACGCTCAACGGAGCGAATCTCTCCGAACGCTCCAGTTCTATCTATCTAGGTCGGGAAATCAACATGTTGAACGACTTAGCTCCAGAGCTGAGCAGAAGGAATCGAGCGACTTGGGGAGCTTTCAAGAGCATCGATTATGTGGTGAGGAAAACAAAGAACACCCTACTGGTGTCTACCTTTTCGACTCAACGGTACTTCCTACCCTAACATATGCGTCAGTAACCTGGTCGCTGCGTAAGCAGGATGAAAGATTACTCAGGGTTATCGAAGTCGCAGTCGAAAGGACGATGCTGGGAGTATCTCGTTTCACACAAGCAAGGGATGGAATCCGAAGCTCCGATCTGCGTCAGCGATCAAAAATCAAAGGTGCCGTTGTGTACGCCAAACAGTCGAAGATAAGATGGACTGGACACAATGCGTATGAACGACAACCGATGGACAAGAGCCGTTAGTGACTGGATTCTTCGGGATGTTAAACGTGCTGCAGGAAGACCAGCGACCCGATAGTCAGAAAGAAATTTTACGAAGAACCTAGAAGAAAGATATGATGCTCGATGAGTTCCTAGAGCGAGCAGAACTCATTGGGCTACTCTTGCACGTGACAAGGAAAAATGGAGGATTTTCTGGCTCCCGCTCAATTCAGTCGACAATCAGCTGGAGTGCAGGTGTTATAGGTGATATTAGTGTATGTAGTATACTTGCTTACTTGTATACTTGGACGGTCCGTCCTCACTAGTTGTGAGGACCTCAGCATGTTTTCCATTTTTCTAGAGTTTTGCTGGTTTAGTCATTGTCTTTCCCTGAAATGCCGAGGTCAGCCTGACCAAAGTGCCCCGGATCGTCACCACCACAGGCAGTCGCCGCCCTTGTGGATCAGAGGATTTGCCACCGTACGAATAGTTTGATACTAGGTCGGTGGTGGATCCTGGTATTGGTTAACTCTTAGCTGGATTTCCTATGGAAGCGCCGGACTTTCGGTTTGGGAGACCCTGCTGGGGCGATGAATCTCCCGCTGTACATTGCAGCCTGTCACCCACGAACCTTCCAGCCACGATGAGGCGGTAAATGGCTAAGAAGGTGGAAGGCAATGGCAACACCAATAACGATTTTTTGATATATTCATCCTGTCATTTCTTGCTGGATTATTGGTGCATCACTTCATGAAATCCTATTTTCTAGAAAATCTCACATTGTTTATAGTCGATTGTGGAGGTATCTTTCATTTCGATCTGAGATGCCGTGCGTAGCAGTGCTACTAACTCGCACTAATCGTTGAATCGCTTGAATCGTTTAAAACCCAGAGACCAAGTGATTGTTGTGTACGAAGCGACTCGAGTCATCTGTGACCAGTACTTTAACTTGTCTATGGTGAAGTATATGTTTCCTTACGACGAATTGTGACGAGTTGCCTGTGCGCACCTGGTACCGAGGACGGCGAAGAAGAGTATAGTAAAGAAAGTGGAATGTTCATCGTTTTCGAGAACGGGTGATACAGCCGGTGTGTGACTTTATGCTTGTTATGCATTTTAAAGTTCTCTATGACGTTATGATTTCTGAAGATAATTTATGGGACTGAAAATTTAAAAATTTGTTTCTTCGTATTTTTGTTGAGCAAACGCGAGGTGTTATTATTCTTTGTTCACGATTAAGCTGACGTTTCGGCGGATTTCGCCTTCCTCAGAGCCTGAAAAGGTCAAGTTGATAGCAATCTACTCGGCCAGACGCCTCCATAACCAAACAAAGAAACTCTAAACCAAGATTTCAATCACTTTGAACACAGCTTTGCACACTCACCACTTTCTATGAGGTTTCCACTAAGTATGTCACGTAGAGACCAACCGCACAGAAATCACATGGAAGTATAATGTGCCCCTCACATCAGAAAAGCAGTTTTATATACTGCCCTATATCACGCGTGATAATGAGGCATTCTTCAAATTTAAAATTTCACAAATTAAAAATTTGTAAGTAGCGCAAATTGAATAAAGATGGTAATATGGGATAGAGAAAAGATGTGGAAATCAAATGTTCACTTGGTGACAGATTTTCAGGTTGAAGAGCATATTGCGGTTGTTCACGGTGAGATGGAGGATTGGATCGATGGAGGAGAAGCAGAGGTGTACACTAACGATAGCGAAACGATTGTGGTGGATGGAAATGCAGATGGAAGCAGTCAGATTATGGAAGCAGGACAGGAGTCGATTATTGTGCCAGCTGACCAGGAATACGAGTATTATCCATATGATGGAAGTATGTGTGGTGAAATATTGTTGCGGTACAAATCTTGGTTTTCATGCTTCGCAACTTTTTAGAACATGATGTTTGGACTATATAGTGGGGGCTGCTGTTTTTCAGCTATTGTAATGGAAGATACTTGTGTTGACACTGTAGAACTTCAACAACCAGAAGTCGCCTTGCAGAGTGATTCAAGCCAAGCGTTACATACCTCAGAAGAGTCATCTTCACAATTCCCGGTATTGTTGCTTGGTGTGTTGTCCTTCCTTTGCTGTCATTTGCGAGTTACTTATTTAGTTGTACGAAAACCAAACATATGTTGATGATGCCAGTGTACCTCCACCTACTGAGGAGATTGAGGTCAGTTCTTTTCTTCTGAACAGAGCGAAGAAACAGTTGAGTACGATGCAGTTCAGGTAGAAACATCAGGCCAGCAATATATACTTGATATAGCAACTTCTAATCATATGTCGCCAGAACAAACGATCGTCTATGACAATGTGGTTGGGTGGGTTAATACTATTTTACATTGTTCTACATTATTTATTTCCCATTTTCCATTCTAATATGTTATGGGTTACAGAAATGATATGGAGTTATTTTATGTGAACTTACCGCACGAAGATACTTCTGAAGACCGGGTCCGCGTTTTACTCGATCCGAAACCTCCTAAGAAAGGACGACTCACGTATGACGAATACTACCAAAGAGTTGTGGTATTTCTCTCTTTTCGTTTTATTCGACTCTTAATATCCTAAACTAAAAATTTGGATTTGCCATATTTTGCAGAATAAAAATTTGCAAGAAATGGAAGTGGGTGCATCAACGATACAGATGGCAGCTCCAGTGAGGCATGTTAGTATGATGACTGAAGAAGGACCGATGTTAATAGCTCATCCATCATCCAGAAGCAAAAATCGTTTGATTCGATCGCAGTATGATCGACCACATCGGGCAAGAAACCTGGATTGGATCATTGATGCTGTTGCTCGGGTAGGTTAATAAAAGTACTGATGAGATAGGTGAGAGCCAAATGTGGTGATCAGGTCAATCCACATTTGCCATTATAAGACCAATTCATGAGTGTGGTATTCAGACAGACTTCTGTATTTGTAGCTGCGACTTGGATGTGACCTAAATAGCTCTTGGCTTCTGTTTAAATCTTTCCTAATTTGTTGAGGTTCAATCAAGTTTCTTGATATTGGGAAAAAGACGACTTAGTGAACTGAGTCGTGCTATTCCTCATAGCTCCAAAGTCAGAAAGAAGAATCCTGAATTGTCTTCCTATCATTGACTATGGTACGGAAATCGTGGAATGTAAAATACTGAAGGTTATTCTTTCCGTTACTAATTTCATGTAACGAGGAGTGAAGAACAAATCCCGAGTATTTCCATCTTTCATCACCGCTAGTTAGTGGGATATTGTGAGCTCGAATGGCACAACACCATTTTTAGATTCACCTTTTCTAAGATATTTTCAACAGTTTCTCTTTTGCTATTGCTTGAATTCCTTTCTTTCTTTCTTCCACAACCGATATTAATAACATGCCACTCCCTGTTTCCTTGGTGTTCTATGGAACGCTAGTTGTAATCATCTATCAGCACAAGACGTGGTTGACGGGTGCACCTATCAAAAGGTCCTGAAACCCGTTTATTGCTGATTGAGTGACTTGTCTTTTTCTTCCGAAATCCTAAGATGGCCTTGTTAGGATGATCTGAGTTTGTCACTTTGTTTACTTTCTGCTAGATTTCTGAGATTGTATGCCTGTGTGGGTGTGGGTGTGGGCGTGTGTGGGTGTCTGTGTGTGTTGGTATGTCCACGGACTACACTGAGACATGTGAAACAACATGGCGGGTCAATGAATCACACATAATGGGAGTTGAGTTCGAAACTGTTGATTTACTTTTGTATGGTAGTGTTGCAGGGGGTAGACATAGACTCTGCAAGTCCACATAATCGCCGTAAACCTGTGATGCACAAGTGTCAGTATTGTGGCCGAGTTGACAAGTATCCAAGTAAAATCAGAGCCCACTTACGTACGCATACAGGAGAAAAACCGTTCAAGTGCGAAATATGTGGCATGACTTTCGCTCAACGAACTCCTATGCGACTACATGTTCGAAGACACCTGGACCAAAAACCGTGGGTTCCATTTAAGAGCATGTAAACCGGTACTCTTTACGACGTTTAAATAAGTTGCATGAATTTTCAGGTACGTTTGTACGATAGAAGGTTGTGGTGTACGATTTGTGTCTGGTGCGTTGTTGAATTATCATCAACAAACAAAACATTTTATGACAAAGAGGTGTGTATCGGATTCTTACTGCTTTACATTGCCCGTATTAGTTCAGGTTCTGCTAAAACAGCTGTCCGATCTTTTTTATTTCAATACATGGTTAGTTTTTGTGAGGCATTAGCGGTATCTTCAAATTGTGATTGTTTTGATGGTTACAATCTGTTCTATTCTAACCTGCTCCTATCTTATAGTTTTTATAAGTCTTTTTTTTTTCAACACCAGTGGCATGTTTCTACGTAGTTCTCAACCTTAACATTACTTTAATATCATAGCATAGTAGTGAAAGGTTAAAGGATAAAGCTATCGGCGTTCATCAATCCTTGAGCGATACGCCATGCATCCTTTGATGATGAAAGCCAATTCCATAACCATGACTTTATTAAGCCTCGTTGGAGGTGATTGAATGCATATCTGGCCTTTACAGTGACTCGCGGCGGCTTACCGATGTATCAAACCAGTGCTGCTATCCTGCCAGGCAAGTTTGGTGCCTATTTGGCTGCCCCGGAGGGATTGAAGGCTTGTTGGGCCAGGGGCGCGGGGATCGATCCCATGTGTGTGTTGCAGTGCGCCTCCTACCACTGCGCCACACACGCCACGAGTGTAGTAGTAAACCCTTTTAAATCCGAATTTTGAGTTTTTTAAGATAATTATATTTCACAAAGCATTCATTTCGTTAGCAAATATTGCGCAGCTATTACGGAAACATACATTATTTCTGTTTGCATTGCTACATATTACATTGTCATACGTACATATTACAGTGTTACACGACCATTTTTGCATTATTTCATTATTATTTTTTAGATTTGGTCATATATCTTCTAGGTATATTTGCCTCAAAGGATGTGGTCGTTTTTTTGCGAGTGCTAGAAATCAAAGAAATCACGAAGCGAGATGTTTATACAACACGGAACTGGCTCACGATTTCGGTGATGCAATCTATGAGCATCTTGTTTACAACGACCAGGAGGAAGAGGAAGCAAGTGACAATGAAGTACGAAACTTTTGCTGTATTTGTTCTATTATTCTTTATTTTATGCAACCCGTCTTCACGTCTACTGTGCAGATCCCAGCACTTCCCACATCCAATTCGTTTCCTTGACATATGGCTTTGGTTGCTGCTTGATGATTTTCATTTCTTCTTGAATGTCGTAGAATGCTGGTCGACCAATTCTCTCTGGAGTCCTTAGATAGCCGAGCTATAGCGTTCCCAATTGGATTGTAGAGAATAGTTTCTTCCCGGAGAAGTCCTGTACCAATTTTTCGACCTAAGAGAGATGAGAGACCTGGTGAGCTTGAAGCGAGATCGAACCACCACCGTGCTGTTGATGATCGGCATCATACAAGCGAATCTTAGCCGAATTGGTTAACACATAACTGACACATGCTTTGAATTTAATGCATGTTACCCTGGACTTTATTTTGCTGTAAAAATTTTTTTTGCGACTTTTGGATTTTTTGGACTGGTAGTTTATCAAGTACAGATGTCGTGTTTGAAATGATGCTTGTAAAATTATGCTTTAAATTTGATTTTTAAGCCAATAGCACTTTTTTCGGAAGACTTTCCCAGTACGTTACTCCAGGGCAAAATTTGGGCGTAGTTACACATGTAGCAAAAAAAAAGCCCGTCCCAGTTAATTAGTGTTGTTACTTTCTATCTTGGTGGTTTTCGCCTTTAGAATCATTCGTTAAATGGAAGAGTCAACTTATACTTGTAAGGAAAAATTAATTACCCAACTAATGTACGCGATATTTCACAGTATGTTCCATACTACACGTGTTTTTCCAGTTATTGTTACTTCATCTTTAGGCGGATGAAGAACTTGCGAATGCGCTAGAAGCTGTTGAGAGTACTCTGGAAATAGCCCAGGAAAAGAATCAATAGTCAACAAAAACGGCTACAGTTCATTTGGTTTCTATTTTTACGCCTTTTATTTTTGGTGTAGACGGTTTTTTAAACCTGAAGATCTCAATCACCTTTCATAATAAGAATTCTATGCGTATTGTTGACTTTTGCTCTCCTGTTTGTTTTTAGGTTCTTGTTGGTCTTTGTTGTTACCAAAATTTTTTACTGTTATTTAGTAATTTTGCCTCGCTGTGATTTTTTGTTCTGAAACACTTAAGAAGTGTGCATTTGTGGAAATGTATTTGTTAGATCATAGAAGTCATACTAACGCTAATTCTAACTGACTTAACGTTGCCATTAAGAATTTTAGTAGTTTCGCGGTTTTATTTTTCTTTTATTTGTGTGAACTACGGGTTCGTGATTTCACTTGAGAAATTAATGCTATAACTACATAGTCGGTTGATTGGGCGTGTATCTTCACTACATTATGCACTATTTTATGAATGATTAGGTTTTTTAGAAGGTGGTTACCTTACTGTGCATAGCTCATGCCAATAAATTAGATGGAGATTTTCCTTTCGAGTTGTTATGAATGTGCTTAATAAAATGAAGATGGTAATCCAAAGGGTGAAGGGGCTTGGAGCTTAGATGTTTAAAGGTGGTACTCTGCACTGCAGAATGGGTATTTATCTCCACCACTCCAGCAGAGCAATCCTTCTATCCCTACGTTCCGACGGATTGTTAGCAGATTTGTCTGGGAGTAAAAAAAAATCGACTAAACACATAGGTAAGCCATTGGAAGTTTCTGCTTAGTTCGAATATCGTATTCGATCACTTCTAGCACACTTGGTGAGACGGAATGTTGGAAGTACCACTCAGAGATTGACCAAAGTGGAGCGGTTCATCATTTATCCTTTGTTGTAGAGGGAGTTGAAGTGATAGTTATTTCAATGTTTTTCAACCGTTACCAACGTCAGTCCAGCGTCAATTACACTTCTCTGCATTTGACACAATTCTGAGATTCTGCTTTAACACTAGTCAATGAGTGTAATCCTGAATCCGAGTAAGCTTCCGCGGATTAAAAGTATGTTTAGAAGGTGGGGATTCTACGGCCCTAAATGACAAGCTAATAATCAGAAGCCATTTATCGTTGGAAGCTGTCATTATGCTGTTGGTCGTCGACTTTTCACGAGATAATCGTCGTTAGAATCATTTTTGTGCATCTCATGACATCACTACGAGTTGGTCTTACTATACATCCACTCTACAGGCATAGTGGTCCTGATGAGTAGCATTTAATTCGGACGATATAACATTTGACTGGTCCTGATCATTTAATTCGGACTACAAAACATTTGACAGCTACTCGACAAGGTTTCACCGACACGATTTTAACAGTAGATCGAGAGTGGAAGTACTTATTTGTACAGAATTTCCAGTGGCTTGTTAACAACCTTTGCAGAAGTTCAAAGGAATTTGGATCCCAAGGAATTAGGAATTTCCAATGCGGGCAGGGCGTCTGCAAGCCACTTTGCAAGATTTGCCCAAAGTCGAAGGGAACAATTTCCAAACAAGTTGCGACATTTATTAAAGATATTGTGTATCGTATATATGCATATCATATGTATTGTATTGCAAGGGGCGGATAGCACAATGATCTCCGTCATCACGAGCATGATTTTTCTTCGATTTCACTCCGGACCAGCCAAGGCTCTCATCCCTCCGATGTCGGGAAATTGGTACCGGACTTGTCTAGGAAAAAATCATTCCTTGCAATCCAACTGGGAGCGCTCCAGCCCGGCTATCTTAGGACTCCAGGAAGAATCGATCTCAGGATCCTAGGAAGAATTGCTCGACCAGCATTCTACAACATTCAAGATGAAATGGAAATCCTTAAACAGCAACCGAAGCCACCCGTAAAGTTGGAAGATCTTCTTGGACAATGAAGGAGAGGAAACGAATCGAATGTAAGAAATGCGGAGATCTGCAAATCAGAAGTGAAGACTGGTCCAATAAAAAAAATTGTGCATTGTAAAATTTTATAACATATTGATTATTGTACAAATATGTCCTTTCAAGAACACAAGACAAAAAATGAGGAGATGTACAATTCAACCGATAAGAATATTCTGATTTGCCCATCCATCTATAAAATACTGAAATTAAATTTTGGAACCTATACTAAATGAAATAGACAGAAAAGAATCTCTAGTTCCGCGTTCCTCGTTACCGTAGCAACAGCTGGTGATGGATAGATGGAGGAAGGACGCAGAGCAACATAGAACTTATTGATCAGGTTATATTTATTTTCTAATTAGTGTACTCGACTTATCGATCGTCACTGATATGCTACATATCTTGTGCCTAGTGAATTTGTATTTTTTCAACAATTCCACGACGACGTAAACTCTATAGAAGTCATGTGGTGCGAATGTAATGCTCGTTTTCAACTTCAGATCGACATATTTCAGCTCATAGCGTATTTTACTCATTGCAATAAAAAAAATTAGAATCACAGTGATGCTAAAATATTTGCAAAACTCCAGACCGCAGGCGTATGCAGTGGGAAGCGAACGCGTTACTACCCTTTCCGGAGGCTAACGAGTTCACCACCACATCATGCGGGTTTTTCGTTTTGCCTTTCTTTCAGCTTATTTTCTATCTACCAGCTTCATTAACAGTCATTCGTCAAGTTAAGCCGAGGCTGTAATAGAAATTACAATCTTAACGTTTTTAACAGTTCACGAGATTGACTAGACCAGATTTGTCTGGATGATAGCAGCACCGACTCGATGCATCGGCAGACCACCGTGAGTTATTTTATGGGACGTATGTGAATTTAATCATCGCCAACGATGTTAAAGAAGTCGAGTGCATTTCGCATTCCACAAGGATTGATTCACGCCCAGGGTTTTATCCTTTTTTATCCTTACCGTTCACACTCTTAGAATGATGAGGCAAAGTGTCTCCTGCAATTCTGCATTGTTCATAACCCTTTAAGTCTTCCGGCTATCGATAAGCTATTGTTTGTTATGGAAAAAAAACCATCATGTCCATAAAAGCTGAAAATTACGCGTTGTTTCAAGCGGCAAGGCCGCCTAACTCTGCGCACTGGTTCAGTGTTCGTTAACACGAGACGTTATGCATTGATCTAAATGCATTGCGGAAACGACGAAATATCACACGTCGTTCCATATCGCAGACATCGAAAACTAGGCGTTCATGCGAAAATGTTTTGAAAAAATTGGTTACCTAACGACGTTATCGGACCAATTGTGGAAACCTCAACTTGTTTGCTCTTTGTTTATGATCATATCGGTTTCAGAGCATGCTGTCCGATGTAAATCTTCATTCACTTGTGATCGAACCAAGAAAACCACCTGTTCCACAGTATTCCGAAGGCTCAACAATGACTGAGGGTGTGAAAATTCACACTAGCGGAACCGATCCAATGGAAAGACGATCAGTTGCTGTTGGAACAGAAAGCGATGCAGAAAAACCGTCCGCCGAAGGTGTTATTATTGATAAACAGGTGAGCGCAACAATAATTATTGGCTGGTAGGGACGTATGGTGAAGTGGCTGGAGATGCCCTTCAATAGGTGGTCTGTATGGTCTTAGCTTCGGCCCCATGCTCCCAAGCAAACTAAATCATCCATCCGTCCGGGACTGTCAAATTCTTACTGGACCAGTCTGGGAGCATAGGAAACACTGATCTGGAAACAACGTTGAGGCAGAAACGCTGGTATAAAACGATGATTTGGTACCTTCTTGGATTTACTAAGCTAGCACGATGTTGGAAAAATGGTTTACTTGGCCGACTTTCCGACGTTTTCGTCTTCTTCAGAGTCAGATTGATCCGAGTCGATTGTACACAGCCGTCTGTCCTTGCGGTGAAGGGCATTGTCAAGTCGAAGCAATAACTGCGTAAACCATTTTTGCCAACTTCGCATTGGCTTAACAATCTAGGAATGCACTGACTATTTATACGGAGGTTTAATGAAAATCGTCCCTTAAGATAATGATTTGATATATTGGTAGGTTTCGGTAAGTGGCTAACTACGCATCCAATCACCTGTATGATACTATGAGTGGAGTACAATGTATGGCGCATTCATGAGGGAATGACGAGCGCTTTTATCCTTCATGAATTATTCCTATTTAGACGGGTTCATGCCTGATGATTTCAGGTCATCAGTGTAATAGAATCGCTTCTACAAGAATCAGCCAACTCTAGACGTATAATCGCTCGACTGTTACCGTTCCATACAAGCAACCTTATTCAGTTACAACCTATTCGATCATACGTAGTTCCAATGGTACAGATTAACATTTTTTTATCAACTGCATAAAAGATAAAGTCAAAAGGTTTGTTGTTTCATCAAGCTGGTCAGGGTACATGAGAGGAATCAGTATGCGTACTCTTATGAACGTTCACTTATTTGGGTTTTATACTGTCGACGTTAACTAACAAAAGGAAATCGAGCATTGGTGAGATAAACAGAGAAATATTGTCAACTCTCAGTCGTAACTTGAGCCGAAATTGGCCTGATAAGCACTACCCATACATGCCCAAAATTGTTAACTTTGAGAGAGAATTTCTAATACCATTGCTATATTTATAGCTTAGCAATAAGAGGCGCGTGTGGTGCAGTGCTCGGAGGTGCTCTACAACGAACATGTGGAACCGATCCCCGCCCCCATGGGTCCACTAAGCCTTCCATCCCTCCGGCGTCGACAAATTGATACCATACCTGTCTGGGAGGATAATAGCACTGGCTCGATACATCGATAGACTACCACAAGTTATTGGAAAGGCCAAATATGCATTCAATCACCTCCAGACGATGCTTAATGAAGTCGAATGCGTGGCGTCCCTCAGGGATTGATTAACGCCGAGAGTTCTATCCTTTATCCTTCTTATAGCTTAACAATGAAAAAATTTCCATAGTACGACGTAAAAGCTACTACCGTAACCGTAGGTTTTCACCATGGGCTTCACTCTTTGTGATGCAGAACTCGGTAATGTATTTTGAGAACGATATTGTAAGCTAGTGTTAAGATAATGGTTTTCAAGAAACTTTTAGAAGGGTTAGAAAATGTTATCTAAAATGGAATTAGAAAGTCTAATAAAAAAAAGTCTCCCACACAAAATCTAAGCAGAATCTATTACAACTGGAAACTTCACGAGGGGCACCTGTGTAGGCGGTCCCCATTTCAAGGTGGTGGGTCCTTGTGTTTAAATGCCAAAAGTATGAGGTAAATTCTGTGTAATAAATAGGAAGCTGTTGTAAAGTGACTGCTAGAGGCAAAGTTTTATTTGCTTACGGATGTTGACGTCAATACGTTACTGTTTCAGCTGTCTACTGAAACGTTACCGGTGTTGTCGCTTTCATGTGGTTCAGCAAATCGTGTAGCCATCTTAATCGGTGAATCAGAACACGATTCATGGTGTTCTCATATGGGAAAGGTTATCATCAGTCAACGCAACACGGTAAGAATTTTAGTAACGTAGGCGGTAATTTTCTGTAGATAGCAAAACTCGTTCGTTTTAAGTAGGAGTATCATCTTTCAATACCCAAATGCTTTACTTTTACAAAAATTCTTATAAGAATCAATAAAGTTTTACTTCAACCGGTAATTTGATGGTCGGCCAAGACCACGAAAGCCTTCTGTATTGACGTAGCCGTATGGCTTTTCCACTGGCAGATGGTTTTTGAAACAAAAGTTTGCCGCGTGCGACGAGTTTCATAGTTTTAATAAAACACTTTACAACAAAATGGGTTTACGAAGAGGATTCATCCTAAACGGGCAGTTGGAAACGAGATTCGTTTCTAATTCTTTTATGATCGTGCGCATTGATTTAAATGCATACCTTGTTGCACGTTTCGGACCGCGCATCTTAATTTCAAAGCACACACTTTATTTGACCTACTTGCCACGTAGGGTTTTTAGCAACCTTTTCGCAGTTAGTCGATAGTTGTCGAGCGCAGATTTTACACCTGGGCTGGTCCATGGATAGTTATTCCAATAGAGTTTTACTAGCGAAAACTATATTACGCTATACTTTCGGATTGCTCAGTTTTACAGCGGACAAGTTGGTACTTTCACAGTGAAGTTTAATGAGGACCTTCATAGATGTATTCGTAATATACAGAACGCCTGTATTTCCTCAAAGTGCGGATTTTGCAATGGGAGAATGCATCCTTGGGAAAGCGACAGATTTTCAACTCTCGTTTCACATTTCTATCGCTTATGTTGAAGACGTTTAGCTCAAACACATTTATTTTAATGTGTACGATTTCTCCAACTACGACTTAGTTCTAAAACAGTACATCGCCTGTATAGCCAATCATCTCTATCAACTCTACCACCCTCGCCTCTCCGCCTTGTCCTACCCAACGCTTCCGAGTCGGGTGCTCTTCCAGTGTCAGGGGAATGAGACCCGTTTCCTTCACTGTGTTTAGCTTTTTGACACCTACGCATAGCTTGTTGAGCTATGAGCATTGGGATTGGGTGTACTCACGGATAGCTTGCCAGTCTTTCACGGAGTGGACATGGAGCTTGTTTGTTGGAAGTCACTCCTAACCACCTCCTATATACTTCCTTGTTACTTGATTGCCTTTTGGCCGAATTGACTCGTTGAATACGCATGAAAGAGGACACAGGGCACGCATCCATGAATATGCTCTCGCAAATACAGAAGATATGTGCCAAATCAAAGTCGGAGAAACAGGGAATCTATCCTCTGGAACCATCTGTGTCTCAAGGAAGCATAAGCTCGCTTTTAGTCCGCGATTAACCTCGTATCTAGTACATGAGTACGAGCCACGCTGCCTCGCGACTAACCAGCATGAGATCTCTCTCTGTGAAGGAGAACCGTGGGAACAGTGCACAAATTATATAAATATTGATTTAGGTGGAAATATAATGGTAAATGAATAAAATGTGCTTGAATAAGCAATAATAAATGTGATAATTAAGATATTAAAACAACTAAGTAAACGTCATAATATTCTCTGTGCAAGAAATAGTGCATAAATTATATAAATCTAAATATAAACATCAAAGAATACTCTTAGCCTACGCGCTGTCTGTGAATTCCCTCTTTTTTTTCAATATGGGCTAGTCCTTTCAACCGTTTATTGCCTCTTCGTGGCTGCGAGGCGTTCCTAGGCGTCGAGTTGCGATGTATAACGGGGGATTCATCCTCCCAGTAGGGTCTCCCAAGCTGAGAAGGAGTCCAGTGTTTTCATCAGGAAGCCCAGCTGTGATAAATCAGTGGTAGGATCAACCACCGCGCTGGTATCAAACTAGTCGCATGGTGGCAAATCTTCCTCTGTATACAAGGGCGTCGACTGCTTTTGGGAGTGACGACCTGGGACAGATTTTGACTAGGCTGACCTGGGACTCCAGGAAACCATAATGGCTAAACCAGCGAAACTTCGGAAAAATGGAAATTATACTGGGGCTCGCACAACCAGTGAAGATAGCCCGTCCAAGTTTTCAAGCAACTAAGCAGTATGGGCTAGTCACCAGACGTAATATTGACTTTTCAGTGCATCTCTATTCCTTTAGCGGTATGTCCGTCTACTTCAGCGTGGTCATCTAATGGAGTTCTTACGGTTGGCGATGTTGACGGTAACATTCATGTGGTGATTGGCGATGCTGTTGTTAGCACGTCGAAGGTGAGGTCTATCGATTTATCGATTGAATTCGTGATGCTTTTACGTGAAGAATAACTGAAAAATCCATGTGCTTAGGTTCATTCGCAATGTGTTTCGGCTCTTAGCTGGATATCACAGACTCAGTCGGTCTCATGCGGAATTGACGGCCATCTTGTTGTTTCACAAATTAAAGGAACGTCACTGGAAAATGTGAAGGTAAAACACACATCACCTTCTGCTTCAAAAATTTCTCATAGTAGTAAGTTTTGCTAAATTTTACTTGGAACAAAAAGGATGTCAGCACTTTTTATATAATGAATATCTATGTAGTCAGCGATATTAATACGTTTTTATACAAAAGATAAAGGATAAAGCTCTCGGCGTTGTTCAATCCTTGAGGGATTCGCCATGCATTCCATTTCATTAAGTATCGTTGGCGGTGACTGAATGCATATCTGGCCTTTACAGTGACTCGTGGTGGCCTACCGATGTATCGAGCCAGTGCTGAGATCCTCTCAGACAAGTCCGATACAAATTTGCCGACCCCGGAGGGATGGAAGGTTTGGGTCTTGTGCGCGGGGATCGCTTCCACTTGTGTGTTGGAAGGCGCCTCCGACCACTACGCCACACACGCCCTTAAGAAATCTTTAAGAGAGGCCTGCTAATTTATTTGTTTGCCTGTTCCCTATTGAACAAACTAAAACTTCTTCCCTTTAAATATTGTGGAGCGAGAATGAAGAAAAGGAACCGCTTTTGATCGAAATAGGGAAAAATAACGAAAACATTCTCGGCCTTATAGAAAAGCGTTAGCATCCCTGTCGGAGATGCCACCGAAGCTCTGGCGTTCTTCTGAATAGCAATGTGTAACTCAGGTATTTCCTTCTGCATAGTAGTGAGTCCTAGGGCGTATGTAGCGCAAAGGTTAGAGGGCCGTATGCTGGATCGGATCGACATCCACGTAGGATGACGCGGTTGTGGTCCAATCCTGCGTGTGGACAAACCAACCTTTCTTTCTCCTAGGACTAAGCATTTTGGTGCCAGACTTATATGGGAGGATAGAAGCACTAACTCGATCTATCGGTGAGTCACCGCGAGTCATTATATAGGCCAGACATGTGCCCCATCGAATGGACTTGAATGCTGGTGCGTCACCAAGGGCTTCATTAGCGCTGAAGCCCTTTAGTAGGGAAGATGAAATCTAGCCAGTAGATCATGACTGGGCGATCGATAAGGGGTCATTATTTGCAGTTGAAACGACTCACCGTTGCCGATCTACCGCGAAATATTCGTAAGTCGTCAACGTCATCACGATCGCTATCGATTGTATCGATGAGCATGTAAGTAACAGTTATCGTTATGGCTTTTCCCACTGATTTCCACATTTATTATCCTCGTCCGAAATTTCTTAGTGTGTTCAATTCACTACAGCGTTCCTTCAATTTCCCGATGTCTGATACGATCTGCTCTTCGTTGTTTGACGAAGAGTTTTCCATGTTTCTGTGCGACTAAAGAACTTTGATATCTTTATAGGTGTGGCTCAGAGATGTGCATAGCAACGGAAACTGGTGGCATATGGATCGCTTCGTTACCGGATCTTCATCTGAAGACAGTTCCCACTGTACCACAGGCCATTCAGTCTGTGATATATATGGCACCGTTCATTGCCATATCTGGTGATGACGAATCGACGACATTAATCAGTTGTGACGGCTTCCTCGTCGATTCGTTTGCGATAGCAGCTAAACATCTCTGTAAACCTGAAGATAATCTCATTGTAATGGCCGACGGAACCAGGACAGTGATATACGATGTAGCGATCAGAAAGATTGTGCTCGACGAGAAGCGACTGGGAAGAGCCGTAAACGTCTCACCACAGGGTGATGTGGTTATACTTTGTGAAGAAGAGCTGGTTACTTTAAGACTGGAGAAGTGCAACACTTAATCATTCTGTCGTTGTACTGAGAGAAAGAAGTAAAGTATAATAGAGGTTGTTCCCAGGATCGACTTTCTCTTAACCTCAGCATTGGAATATGAATGCGTCGTTTTCTTGTTCAGCAATCGCGAGGTTTTTAAACAGCATACATTTACTTCCATAGAAAAACACAATACAATACAACACTGGCTGACGTTTCGGCAGTATCGCCTTCTTCAGAGCCTGGAAGGGTATACTGATATACAATCTACTAGGGCCAAACGCCTCAATACCACTTACAAAAAGACGAAAAACTCTTTGGTAATTACGCGATCAACAACTTCTCGAAAAAACCCACCGCTTTTTCGTGACTTCCAATGAGGAAGTTTAGAACAGTCGTCAACCACATGCGACTATAATCAGCTGTTCTAAACGTCCTCATTGGAAGTCACGAAAAAGCGGTGGGTTTTTTCGAGAAGTTGTTGATCGCGTAATTACCAAAGAGCTTTTCGTACCAGCAAATATGTACCAAAGATGTACCAGCAAAATGCTTTCGACTTGTGAAGGAAGCATTGTCACTAGGACAGAAGATTGTCTCAGCTAGACAGCAAATCAACTTTCTCCGCCGCTGTTTTCAACATCGAGTCGTGCCGAAGTTTATAAAACGAAAGCGACTTCACGAGATATGTGGTCAACCAGAGGACAGCCAACAAGTACGAGGCATCGAAATGGAACTACTTCGAGCAGCACTACGAAACAAGCAGAACGAGATGTTTACCAGAATGAAGAAATGTGCAACGAAGGAACATTTTGTGCCTTGTATTTGGAGGATCGCCTTTGGAGGAGGATAGTTGGTGGGTCAATATTGATATGCGGTTTTATTAGATCTAATGCCAAAATAACCGTACAACGGAAATTCGAAAATCTTTTGGGTAATTCACATGGCTCAGCTTCAAGAAACAACCGCAAACGAATTCCTTACGTTTCTGATAATAGTCAAAATGGGGTTGATAATGCACCAAGAAAATCTAGGGTCACCGTGATTGGGGGCATAACAATACCTGAGAATGGGCGCTCGCTATTAGAATTGGGCCCAAGTTTTGCACCATCGCAGCCCATTTCTAAAACGACCCTGCGTAGGATAGCATGCAACATTTATGAGCTTCAAGATCGACTCCTCTATCAGGCCAAGCAAGAAACATCAAATAGAGATAAAAAACAAGAGAGGGCGACACTACCACCATCTCCTTTCCCTAAAACGTTTTTTAGACATCAGGACCCTAACGCTGGAGCTGACATAAAATTCCGGGTGTTTTCGGAGGACCCTTGATCACTAGCGCGATAGAAAGTTTATCTCTAACCTTATAGCCGCACAAAAATGTGGCATGCGGGAAATTGGAGAATTAATAAACTCGAAAACAATAAGATTGTCTGTTAGTGATAAGGGGAGAGAGTTCGTAGTTATGCCTCGCCAGCTGGATGTTGAGATAACAGAGGAACATCTTAGTGATGCTACTCTCTATCGCCCATCCTCTGAAAAGGAATATAAAAGTCAGTACCGAAAGCTAAACAATCAATGGGTCAGTGCGGCAAAGGCTGCCGGTTTAAAATCATCGGTTATCTCGCACTTTAAAATCGATAAACTAACATGTCCCGTCCTATACCTACTTATTAAAACACATATGTTGGTATCACCTGATGATCTGGCGTCAACCAATCCGTTAT